TATTGTACAATGCTATTTGTTTTAAAAAAGTGTTAGGCTATTTAAATAAAAATGTATGTACTCAATTACATTTTGTTTCAACATTTTTACAGAAAGCAAGATTTTCAGCACTAGACTAAACAACTTTAACTACTATTTATTTTTGCAGTCAAGAACTGAGTGAAGTGCCATCTGATGTTGTAGACAAACTCTTCCTGCTCTAACGTGGATCCATTTCAGTGGAGGTTCAAGTCTTTGGAAGCTGTCCAATCCCCTGTCAGTCTGACTAAGCTGCAGAGTTTTAGATTGGAGTGGGGATGTGCTCACCAGCTGTGAGATTAAGGGGAACTGATCGATGGCCTTTCTGATTGGCTCTTGTGGTGTCCCAGCAGCATCCAATCCCCTTGGTTTGGATGATTGTCCTCAACCGAGCCAAAACCAATTCTTCCTCCACACAGGGGCCAAATAAGATCACTGACCTGAAGCTACAAGGCCACGCTTGGAGGTTCTGTCTCCGTCCATCTGCACTCCTCATCTCTCTGAAAAAAATGAGACAGACAGAGAAGAAGAGGAGAGAGGAAGATGAGGAGACAGAATCAAATTAGAGTTTAAATGAAGAGCGAATTGCACCATCACGGGTTTAGACTTCCCTCGTTTTACTTATGTGTATTTTCCTGACATCTTTGTCATTAAGTGCTAATGGCAGGGTGTGTTTCTGCACTGCTCTCTCCAGAAATTACCTGTCAGTCAAACTCAGTGGGTGGCACTGTGATGTCTTTTTCCTTGGATTTCCTGTTCAGTCTCTGTAGGTGGAGCTCTTTTCTTTTTCTGTTCAGCTACTGTGGTTACGAATTCTCCTGCCAACTACACAGTTCCACTATCTATTCAAAGCAAACTGCTGCTGCTGCTGGAAATGTAAAATGCATGACTTCCTGTGCAGCAAAGGATTTTTTCTTTTTTAGATGAGAAAATGTGAATGAACTTTGTAGAAATGCAGCTCTCATAAAATGTCAGGGACCATTTGTTTAAAAACGAAAACCATAAAAAGCTCAAATGCATGCAAGATAATATAACCTGTATGTAAAAAGCTGCCTCCATATGTTTAAATGTGTAAATGTGTGACTGTGTGTGTCTGTGAGTGGGAGGATGGCGGACTGACAGTAAGAAGACTGTTTAAGGACTAACCTCATGATGGAGCTGAATAAAGTGTTTGCTTCATTCACTGATTCCAAACAACTGCCAAGAAGGCTCCTGCAGAGATTCAGCTTTCATTTGCCACCTGTGCTGCGATGATGATGAACACGAGGAGGCTGCAGTGCTTCCTCTCTGCTCTTCACCAAATATTCCCCACTTGGGTGTGTGGAAGAGGCACTGAGCATCAGAAGAGACTAAACCTGCATGAGCTTCTAGATTTCATTCCGTTTTCAATCTGCATGGACGATCTGCACTTTACTTTGTACAAGGTTAACATGATGCTGATTTGGCACATGCCGTCTATCCAACTCACTCCTGGAGAGGTTTCTGTTGGAGGAACATAATGCATTACATTTATATAAAGAGGTCAAAATGAATGCTGTAGGCAATTTGCCAATGTCAACCCATTCATTATGCCTGAAAATATCAAGAAAAATAATTAGCAAAAAAAAATCTAAATGAATTATTTTTAGAGTTCTGAAGCTTTCAGCCACATCTTGTGGCCTTGATCAGCAATCGGCGGTTGTCAGACGACTACATCGACATCATCAACTGAGAAAATTGCACCCATTGGTGAGGGAAATGAGATGTGGTAAACCTTGAGTTAGGATTTTTTGTAAACAACGACAAAAGTATTTTATAATCTAATAATCTTAACCTGAATTTCGGTGTTCAGTAGTGAAAACCTCAATCTTTTCAATCATTTTGAGCTTTTGAGCCTAAACAGTGATTGTCCCCCTTCCTTGCTGAGGACGCCTTGACTCAATTTGGTGTGCTCACGCAAGTAAAAAGCAGTTTATAAAGCTAATCTTTTGATTTGAAATACTGTTCAACCAATTATTACAGCTGTACACCTGCTGTGTTGTTTGCCACGTGTCTTTGTTCAGTTTGACTTTGAAGATACAGTAGTGTCAAAATGTTACTCAGTTTGCGCAATTAAAAGCTGTGAATTAATCAGTGTGCTGTCCTTGAATGGAGAAGCACCTGATTCTGCAGCATTTTGTTGAAAGGTGTGAAGAGCAACCTTCCTCTAATAGGTAATTGTTCGCTCTACTATTCACACAGGCTAAATGTAGTACTCTAAAGTGATTGCACCAAAAGGAATTTGTTGAAAAAATTACATAAAAGATATTTTTAATGAATCAGTGTGTAGGATTCGAGCAGCAAACTCCCTGGCTTGAAAATGAAGCCACAATGGAAGTAACAAAAACTGCAGTTCCTCAAATGGCCATTTGACTCACTTGACTAATCTCCATGAGGCCCCATATTAAATTGCCCTAATCCTCTATACTTCCCCTTTCATGACAACTGTACAGTGGTTGAATTTTTATACAACTCACCCATTTAAGTTATATTAAGGCTTAAAGTTATGGATAATTAAGGGCATGGGCGCTTTGAGTGATAGGTGGGTGCCGTCACAGGTGGCTGTTTTCAGTAACCTGGCTTCATTCGGCCCACCTCAGCTCCACCCACGCTCAATGTATTTATATATTTTTGGATTAGGCAGAATCAGGATTTCCAAGATGGCGACAGCCAGAACCGACCACTCTTTGAGCTTTTCCTTTCCGTTCCCCTATAGAAACCTATGGGTGACGTCGCAGAGGCTACGTCCATTTTAAATTTTACAGTCTATGGTAGGATTCAGTAGCATCTAGCGGTTAAGAGTTATTGTTTTATTGATTGGTCTGCACGTCAATGTCATAAATAAAAGTTAAATAAAATAAGACAGCACATACAGTGCCTACAGTAGTTAAAAGATAAACCTATAAATGGAGAAACATAATGAACACAAATGCTTCCACACAGAGCGGCCACTGAATAGGTTTTCCTTTGATTTGTCAGGAATGTATCTAAGATTCACTTTCAAGTAAAAAAAATCATGCATTTTCACTGCCATTCATCTCTCTAATTTGAAATGATTCAGTAATAGATCAGGTCCCATGAGCAACATAGAGGGGGGAAAAAAAGAGCACGTCATTATGATGATTTGGTAATTGTGTGCTGCCATCTAGTGGGCACTTTGGGAACATTTCTTTGTTTTCGGGGCCAAAATTCAATATAATACTGGTGCATTTCTCCTGCGACCAAACCAGTTATTTTTAGCAGTTACACACAGGAAATTCCTCTTTTCTGAAGGCTTTAGAGAAATGCCTCCTCTCATGGTCATCTAATTAAAGTTAAGCTCAAAGCCGAACAGAAGCCCCTCTGAGGAACTAACACAGGCATCTTATTAAGCAATGTTTAACTTTAATTTCCTCTGGAACAGCCAATGTTTTTACAGTGTTTACAAAAGGAACATTCATCTACAAAACGCTGCATATGTGAACTAATTTTGCACGCTGTGTGGCACATTCTTTGTTTACATCATGGTGACATAACTGGATTTAATAAGAGCAACAGCACAGCATTGAATGAGTTCATGCCCTAATTGGTCTTGAGTTCACGTTCAAGATATTTTTCACTTGCTTGGATACTGAAAAGACCAAATAAATACAATAATTATTAAATCTATCAATTAGTATACACAATATCTAAGATGGAATAGTTACATATATTATTGTACTGGTGAACTGATGCCTTAAGACATGGTTACCATAGAGAGTATGATATTACAGTGAACAGTATAGTAATTAATTATAAACCAAAGAGTAGCAAAACTATGAAAAAATTATAATATAGTTCATTGAAGTGTCAGTAAAATGCATTAAAACTGGCTTTTTCCTTCACTGAAAACCTTCTAAAACTTGCAGAGCAGGCTGCACAACAATGAACTGAAGACACATTTCCCCTCACAGCACAATGCAGAAGGGCAGTGAAGTAATATCCAACAGCATGGACAGTTCATAACCCCGAGTTCACAATGTACGAACATTGATTAAGGAGTTTCAGGGTAGGCTGGAAAGTTGGCCTGAGTTAAACATTACACTGTCACAAGCTAATCAACAGCTAATCACACTTGCATTCCTCCATGTTGTGATTTGGTTTAATGATAAACAGTCACGTCTGACGAGTGAAAAGATGGAGGAGAAGCTGATTGCAGACAATCAGTGCTTCCCCATCCTATACAGGTTTCCAATGAAAAACTACAGCAAACCAGACAAAAATTAAGCTTGGAAAGTATCTGTTGATGCCAAGAGCAAGAATTGCTATTTGCTATTTGCTGTGAAAAACTGTGTCTGACTGACTACAACAATATACACTGTATCGTTTCATCAAAGTCCCTACCAAGCTCGATTGACACGTTGCACCAGGACGAAACAATAGACCTTTTTCACAGCAGCCACTTGAAATGAAATAGTAGGGTAAACACAGGTGTTACCAATGATATTGATTAAGGTCCTCGTTACCTCTGTTCTCTTTCTCTCTCTCTCTCTCTCACTCTCTCTCTCTCTCTCTCTCTCTCTCTCTCTCTCTGTCTGTCTGTCTGTCTGTCTGTCTGTCTGTCTGTCTGTCTCTCTCTCTCTCTCTCTCTCTCTCTCACCCCAACTAGTCAAGGCAGACAGCCACCCACCTAGAGGTTTCTGCCTCTTGAAAGGAAGTTTTTCCTTGCCGCCGTCGCCAAGTGCTTGCTCATGGTGGGAACTGTTGTGTCTCTGTAAATAATTTTATGGTGTATGGTCTAGGCCTGCTCTATTTTGAAAAGTGTCCTGAGATAACTTCTGTTATGATTTGGTACTATACAAATAAAATTGAAAATTGATCCACTGAGATCCATTTTTCATTTGATTTTAAGAAAATTGTGAAATTAAAATCTATAAATTGGAAAGTTTGAGTTGGAAATGAGGAAGAGTATGAAAACAAAGAGGATTTAAACGCAGACAAGTGAGTGTGCTGATAATGCTTTAATGTCACCGACAACCTCTGTAGTCTCATTTAGTGACTTGTTAGCAACCGCTATTTTAAGACACATAAAAGCTTTACAGGTGAGGTAAAAACGTGAACATTTCTTAAGCTCGTGTTGACCACAGATCTTATTTCAGTCATATAAACAAAATCCATTTAATAAACCCACTAACTTTGAGGCTAGGGAACCCGAAGTGCTAACCTCAGTTAAAATGCTAACTTAGTTCTGGGTTTGAAGACTCATTCCTGTTGCACTCTATTGTAGTTTAATGAACTCACAGAATTACCACCATTACTCTGCCCAACTTGAACCTGAGCAGAGATCTACTTGGCCAAAATAAATGAAACATCCTGTGGGGGAAAGCAATTTGGAACCCCTCTTCATGGTTAAGTGTAGAAGTGGTGACCAGCCCAACTTTTTTTGTTTGTCTTACATTTGAATTCAAGAAAAAAGTCTGAATGAAAATGTAGTTTTGTGTTGCAAAAAATGTGGGTTTTTTATGCTGTCCTTTCCTGCTAATCATCTTGTGACCCCTTTTTGTCAACAATAACCTGCTTTATTTTAATATATATGTTGACATAATTAGTCCTTTCTAATTAATAGTCTATTAATCATCTAAACTCAAAGCAGAGTAACACATCCTAGGTAAACCCAACAACAAGTACAAAACCAAAGACTTCTACAAGACTAATATTTCCGTGTTATTGTTAATGTGACCCACATACACCATTCACACCTCTTCCATGTTGCCGCTGTGTACTAAACAGTTTACAGACCTAGCATGTAACCTCTTGACCAGTTCCCTTTAGCACAGGTCCACACACAACATCCCAGTGCCTCCTCCTGATTGGCTGCTGACCTCACTGGGACGGTCACACAGACTTCCTCCTCTTGCCAAACACATTGTTGATGAGCTTGGCCATGGACTTGGAGCCGCTGTAGCGTCTCCGGTCAGCCCTGTACTTGAGGTGCTCCATCACCTGTCGAATGAGCTGGGTGAAGAGGTTGGCGATGTCCTGGTAGCTCTCGGCTGCTGAGACCTCCTGGAAGTGAAAGCGGTTCTCCTGAGCCAGGCAGCGGCCTTCGTCCTCGCGCACCTGCCGGGCATGACACAGGTCCTGCTTGTTACCCACCAGACACACAGCAACCTCCGTCTCCCTAAAAAGAGACAAGAAAGTGTGGACTGGTGAGACGTAGAGGATGTGGAGCCAATAAAAGCAGCAGTAATTACTCTCTGAGGAGTGATTTATATTTTATTATAAACCACTCCAACCCTGCTGGACTCATTATTGCAACAATTTGTCTGGAGAAACTTTGTTCAAACATACAGAACTTTATTTTATATTGTGGTCCTCCATGTAAAATCATCCATCTATTGCTTCCAAGATAGGTCTCAGCTGCCAAATTGAATTCTTAAAAACGTCTGAAAAGCAGTTTTTATTTCTTTTTAGGCTATCATTGGATTTACATACACATAAAAGTGTTTTGATCCTTATCTCCATTAAGAATGACTGATTGCTGATCTACACTCACATACTTATCACTGACTAAATAAATCTCTTCCCTCCACATAATCAGGATTCGTTGACACATGAAAGGAAGTCTGATGGATGTGGTTGGCCCATATTTCCAGCAGACCAAATTTACTAGATGCCTGTAATTTTGCAGCGAACCCCTCACACGTCATCGTGAATCATTTATTAGTTTGAGATTGTCAGGGCCCAGCATTCCTTACATTCAACAGCATGAGGATCTCTGTTCAGCTTCAGAGAAATAGAGCAACAATACTCTGTTTTGTTCTGTTTTCCCATCGTGTTTACAGCACATTTGGGGAAATAATTCTCAGCATTTCAAGGCTTGTCAACGAGACGAGAAATCATATTAAAACTGTTTGGATAAACTCAAAATGGCATATATACCAAGGCAAAAAACAAGACTGTTTCTCTTGACTCAAGTAGGTCCAATGTGTAACATTTATTAGGATCTAAATATTGTACTTCATTAAAAATATGTGACAGCTATAATAATAATAATAATAACAATAATCATCATCATTATCATTATCTAATGTTATAATATATTCGATAATAGCCACAGGTTTTCTGTATATTCTGATTATTATATAAGTATGTCAGTATAATAAATGTTTTAAGTAACACTTCAATGCAGGACTGTAACAGAGTTTTACAGTGTGGTAGTAGTACTTTATTTTAGGTTAAAGTTTTATTTTATTGAAAGGATCCTCCTCCACTGCGGTTTTTATTGGCATTTTCCATTACATGAAGTTTTCACTCAACAACAAAGATTTGTTTTCACTGATAGTGTCTCAAAGCTTTCAGTCAAAAGTACATTTTAAATGCATTCTTGACATTGTTAATACTTTTTAACCAAAATCTTAACATAATAAGCCACATATGGCACAAGCAAATTTGAGAGAACATTTGTTAACACGTTTTGGATATGGATCATGTAACCTCATCAAAGGAAATAGTTAACAGGGCAACAGCTGCTCTGATCCACCATGTCTTAACTTTATAAAACCCAGCAGTGGCTTGTTGAATGAGGAGGTTCCCCATCAGCGTCCAGAATAAAATAACCTCATTGTGCTTCTGACCCTTTGCAGTTGTCTATGCGTGCCTCCCGAATCTGACGCAGGATGTTCTTGGCGTTGATGAAGGAAGTGCGGTCACTGATGTTGTACACCACCACAAAGCCATCTGCCCAGTCCACCGGCTCCTCCAGTATACACCTGGCCTCTGAGCTCTGCCAAGGACAACACAAGCTTTTATTTTGGTATCACACTGAGCAGATTACATAGTATTTATGCGTCCTATATAGACTGTTTTTATTGCGACAGATTGAACTAGAGAGAAAGGGGTGAAGGAAATGACTTTTAGTAGATATTAACTGATGAACATGAGCTTTAAGCAGCATTGTCTCAATGGCAGTTTGGTAGTTTTGGCCACTGTCAGCACTGGTTTAATGAAATTTATTTGTCTAATATGAATTTATTTAAGTCAATCAATTACACTATTCAACTGAGAAAAACAAGATATATAAAATATAATCAAATATGTAATATGATAAACTTTTGTGTTATTATATATATTACAGTATGAAGTATTCACAACCCTCAAGAGTTTTCATATTTTTTTGCTTTACAACATTTAATCAAATGGAGATTTATTGTGTTTTTTGTTACAATAATCAACAAAAAATATAACATTTCATATCTGAAATTAATTGAGATCTCTTTGTAGATTCACTGTGGCATTAAATTGCCGTTTTTTCTTATCAGCATAACACACAACATTAGAGCAACACTGATTCCATTTTGTAAAACATGAAAACTATCAAGGACATGAGATACTTTTTAAAGATCCAGTCTATAGGATTTAGTGGCATCTAACGGTATAATCATCCCGCTTCACCCTACACTTCCAAGTGCAAATGAGATACTACGGTGGGTAAAATATAAAATGTAAACGCCCCAACTAGAGCCAGTGTTTGGTTTGTGCCTTCTGGGCTACTGTAGAGTCAAGGAGGTTGGGACAGGAGGATAAGGCAAGGGGGCGTTACTACACTGTTAAATGCAAAAACATCTGACACTAGTTCAGTCAGGACCACTTTTGTCAAAATATCTTATATTCCAAGCAGAATTTTACATTTGGCGGTATGGCTCTGTTCTGGGACCTCCTTGTCCTTCCACCTGCCTTTTGGAAAAACATAAAGAAGGGGAGAAAACCCCCCCCCTCCATGTGCATACATGGAAAAGTTTAAGACAAGGAGAGCGGCAGCAGAGACCCCCCAGGGTACAGAACAGAGCAAGCATCAATGGCAGTAGAGGAGCAGCAGAGATAGGCAGGCAGGCTAAAGCAGCTTAATTAAGGCGCCATGTAGATGTTTGCCAATGGGTGCTTGAGGAAATCAGGTGAGCTGTCAGCTGACTGTGTATGGTATCCAATGGGAAGCTTAGAGGAATCAGCTGATGTATGTTTATGACTAGCTGTGATCGTATGATATAGCTGTAACTGAAAGCTAAGCCTGACTTCGTGCCCTGCCTGAACTAACGCTATGCTCAATTTGTGGCACCCCCTGGTGTCACTGAGTGTTTGGTGTGGTGTTGGCCATATTGATGCTTCAGTGCGTTCTTACGGGGAGGGCTCAAGAGGCATATTCTGCGTTATGTGATTCTGACAGTTTGGACTATGCTACAGTAAAAACGGCTGTGTTAAAAGCGTATGAGTTAGTTCCTGAGGCATATCGCCAAAAATTTCGAAGTTGGGTCAAGGGGATAAGCAAACTAACGTAGAGTTTGTCCGTGATTTGCTGTCCCATTTTAATCGTTGGTGTTTTTCTACAGGAGTGGATTCGTTTGACAGACTTTGTGAGTTGATTGTCTTGGAACAATTTAAAAACGCAATCCCTTAACGCATTGCAACGTATGTTAATGAGCAGAAGCCCCCCACGGCACTTAAAGCGGCTGAGTTGGCCGACGATTTTGTGTTGACACATAAAGGTAGTTTTGCAGATGCGCGCTCTGGAGTTGAATGGAAAAGTGAAGATAATGGTGGAAATTCTCGCACTGGTAACCAGTTTCCGAAGTCTGTTCCATCGCATGCTAGTACAGAAGTTGAGTTGGGAGAGCTGAGTTTGAATTGAGAGTTTGGAAACATTTGGAACAGTTTGGGAGTATTTGAGACCGTTTGGGAAAATTTGGAACAGTTTGAGACTTTTTGGAAAAAATGTGAAAAGTTTGAGACAGTGTGGAACAGTTTAAGATTTTTAGAACCGTCTGTTTTAAATAAAGTCACCAAGGCCGACTCCTATCCTTTACCTCGAATGGAGGATTGTATTGACCAGGTTGGTTCAGCCACATTTGTTAGTAAATTTGATTTGTTAAAAGGATACTGGCAAGTTCCTTTGACAGCGCATGCTCGTGAAATTTCTGCATTTGTAACACCTTACGGACTGTATGAATATACAGTCATGAGTTTTGGCCTGCGTAATGCAGTACCCCATGCCCGCTACCAAGAAGGAGTTGATGCGATTCCTGGGTCTTGTAGGTTACTATCGAGCGTTCTGTAAGAATTTCTCAACTGTTGTTGCACCTCTGACAAATTTGTTAAAGGGCAAGGCTAAATTTGTGGTCTTCTCAATGTCAGATTGCATTTGACAATGTGAAGACTCTCCTTGGTGCTGCTCCGGTGTTGGCTGTACCGCGCTTGGATGAACCATTCAAGCTGGAAGTCGATGCAAGTCTTGTTGGAGCAGGTGCCGTTTTGTTGCAGGAGAGGGAAGAGGTTGATGGACCTGTCTGTTACTTCTCTAAAAAGTTTAATTCATATCAGCTTAACTATTCTACAATAGAGAAGGAAGCGCTGGCTCTCATCTGGGCCCTTCAACATTTCGAAGTCTGTCGGTTCTTGAAATGGGTCATTGGTGGTGTATACGGACCATAACCTTTTGACCTTTCTTTGTTCGCTACAGTGTCGAAATCGTAGGTTAATGCGGTAGATGCTATTTCTTCAGTCTTGCACCTTAGATGTTAGACACATTAAGGGGAGAGATAACATAGTAACATGTGCTCTCTCTCGTGCTCCAGTGTTTTTTTTTTGTTGTTGTTGTTGTGCTCCATCTATTCCTGCCCTGTTCCTGTCCTCCCTCTTAAACTGATTTTCAGGTACCTGGTTGCAGAGGTGGGACCTAGGAACAGAGTGGGTATCGAAAAACGTGAGGTGGTTTGTTTTGGGGTTTTTTTGTCATTTGATATTCGGTGATCCCTTTTGGACCCCGTCTTAAGGGGGGGCGCCCCCTGGTATCACTGAGTGTTTGGTGTGTGTTTGTGCCAGGTCAGATTGTGGTGTTGACTGGGGGTTAATTGGTGCCAACTGGGAGAACCTGGGCCCGGTGCTCCCAGGCTATATAATCAAGGCCCTGTTGCCCATTCTAGCTCTCTGCTGCTACTGGTTGGTATTGTTTGAGTTGTCCTAACTAGTTGTTTGATTTGTATTAATTTGTTGCTCTCTTTTTGCAGGCATGCTGCCAGTGGTGTGAGGACTGCAGCGTGGCCTCATCTTATATTGTTTTGTACACTTTACAACATACACACACATTCTCCCTAATGCACACCTTACGCTACTGACTACCCTAGTATACACACTCTATATTTAAAGTATTTAGTTGTTCAGTTCATAATTTGACTTTTTGTTCAATAAATTACTTTTTTTTTTGTTCTTTAAAGTGGTGTATCTCTCATATTTGTCATGCCTTAAGAGCCAGGGTGTGACACTGGTCTTAAGTTTTATTTGGAAATATGTCAACTGCCTATTTCACTGTCTTTAACTGCAGGTAACCATGGCAACAGCGCATCTTGTTGCCAATGCTAGACCAGACTTAACCATGACTTAAAAATACTACAGACAAACATTTTAAAAATGATTTTAACACAAAGTTTTTCATCATAAGTATGCATTACTGTTCCACTTTAGAGCTATTTTTACTGCTGTTCTTGTTACCCTGAACAACACAGTGTGCAGACATGTGCAGAGCAAGAATAGGACAACAAGTTTGAGTGACCTTGAGGAGAAATAATCAGTGGAAGGACAAGGCCTGACATGTCTGAGCCCTCGAACAACAATGTCTCAGCACTGTAAAACCTCACTTATCCTTTTCTCTTTCATTGACTCCATAGTTTCTTTATGCAGGTCAGAAGGTGCAGGTCATCCACTCAGTGTTTCTTATAAAAAGGTGGTGTTACAGTGAGTTTATCCGACAAAGACAATGACCTGTTGTTGTGCTGAGCCAAGGGCTATTCCAATAAAATACTAACTCTGTAGTAAAAGGCCTCTCAGGTATTTGGTCTTGTTGAAAGAGAAGTAAGCAGGTTATATGGCTCTTTTCTTCTCTAGCACACATCGCCTTAGGGTACTCTCATAAACCCTTTAGATACCCAACTTTAAGTGCCGTATGGATTGTACACGTGCCGGCCCAAGGTAAATATCTGACCACGGTTCATTCAAGGTCATGGACATGTGCTGCAGCTTCTCCAGGAAACTTGAATATGTGAAATGCTTGTAGCACCAAAACAAAAAATGATTGTTTTCACTTCAGCTGAAGGATGACATTGTCTTTGATGGATTCTACCATACTTGGGCTTTAAAAACTCTTTTGAGCACCGTGGATTATTTCAATTTATTTAAGCTTTTTTTGGCACTTGACACTTTGGAGACAGTTTTCTCCCAACGCTTATGATTTATCTTTAAACATATGGATGGATTTTAAGGTTTACTCCTGAAAAGACAGAATTCTGAACGGTCTTACATTCTAATATTTAACTTATCCCATAACAGTCATGTATGCATTAAGTGTAAGACAAAAAAACAACATTTTGATTACATTTCCATTCCCAAACTCAAAAAGAGTCCAACTGCAGCTCTGCTCTTCTAATAAAAGTTCTGAACAAATATTACTATATCGGGTGTGTTAGTGATATGTCGTACCTGAGAGCAGGGGTCAAAAACTTCCAGATTCAGCTGCCTGCCATCGATTGACAGCCTTTTATGGTACAGGGAATCTGTAACAAGGAGTGAAAAATAAATAACACAGTTATATTAACTGAATAAAATACTGACTGATGGCAACTTTGTGAGGCAGTTTGACTTAATCTATGTGTTTGTGTTAGTGATAGTGATAGATGTTCATCCAATCACCTGCGGAGTTGCTGTTCAAAACTGCCGGCTCCTTTCCAAACAGTTTTCAACTTCTTCCCAGGAGGTTATGTGTAACAAACCATCTGACATCAATTTGGCATGCCAGATGTTTACATTTGTAATATTAATTGGTGTTTTGTAAAAGTCCTCTTTGAATATATGCCGTATGTCATGTAGAATTATTAATCATTTTTCTTAATCTCAGGTGGGCAGAGTGACAATTAAGGGAACTTGGGATCCTAGTGCCATTTTGAATCTTAACACTCACTTGGGCCAGTAGTATTTGCACTTTGTCATTTGACTTCAGGGAGTAACGGTCATTATGAAATTAACGTTAGCCACAGAAAAGGCACTGATTTCACAATCAATACTGGCCCACAGATGGGTGAGACAACTACATACAAGTGTGCATTTATAGTGAACTATTACACTCTCATTGCAAGTAGCTGTCTGCTGGTTAATAATGCTAACACGTTCACCACATCTTTATATGGTAATTATATGTAATTGTTTTATTTACAGCTTGTTCCACTGTCCCCAAGTGGCAACAAAAGGTTTAATATGGCTTTAATCTAGATTGTTAATCTTGTGAAAGGTCAGGTGCAATTTATGCACCACGAAGCGACTAAATAGCAACCTCCATGATGTCTGAAGATAAACTCTGTTCTCCGGAACCAAAATCAAACCACAATCATCATCAAATCTGGAAACACTTACTGGCATTTGAGGCATATTCACCGATGAAGCGCCTGGTCAGGAACCGCACAAGGACAGCTGGAGGAAACAGACCAAATGAAAAACAACATAATGAATCATTACACTCTCATCCCTCACAGGTGGCAGCAATGGGGCCAAAATGACCCTCATTTACTCCTCCGACTGCAGGCACATCACGGTGCCAACAGTCTACGGGATTGGAGCGGTGAAACAGTAGCCTCACATGAAAGAGGCTGCATGGCTTTTCTGGAAGGCCTGTGTGCATATTTGGCAAGCTGAATGGTTATATTTCCCCCTCTGCCTTGCCTCCAGACTGCGAGTATAAAACTGACCACAGACAATCAGTTTCAATTAAGGGCTGAAGTTTCAAGTGCTGAACTCTGGAAGCCTGTTGCTGATGGTGGTCACGGGCCTCTCAAGGGGTTATACAGGGGTTATACTTTGGCTATGGGGACACACAAACATGGGTTTGGCCCAACAAGTTAGTCATGCATGCCTTCTGGGAAATGCAATACAAATTCAACTTACAGGACTTTAAGACACAATAGCAATTCTTTCGGAGCTTTCTTCACACTAACATTGATATATTTAAAGTGTAAAACAACAACGTGCAATGAAAAAGCAACAAGCAGAACAGCTAGAGTAGAAAAACATTTTAAACAGACACACATGCTGCCTCCAGAGGCTACAGCATCTCCACAGTAACAGCTCAGCTTCACTGCCAGGCAGCGAGAATGGAGATATCCCATTGCTTTATGAAGCTTGAACACAGCACAGAGCCAGTCAGTCTTAATTGCCACCTCAGAGACTGAATACTTATATATGCAACAAGACCCCAAGCAGCAAGAAGGGTCCTATAACTCCCCCACTCTGCCTCACCTGCCTGGAATGTTTGACGTTGCAGATTTAAGATACGGTCACATAAACTGTTAAAAGCCTTGGAAAATAAGCTGTAAACAAAATAATATCATTGAGCATGCCACCTTGACACTTTTCTCTCTTTTGTGATGTTTTGTTGAATAATTGATTAATGGAGAAGATAGATGGGTGGATAATGAAAATAGCCTTATCATTAGTTGCAGCATTAAACTCACACGTGATACCCTCCAGATTTTCAGGTTCTATCCCACAGAGATCCTACAAACTGTGATTTATTACGCACTAAAAACCATTATGATTTAAAAAACACTACACTGACTGTTTCAACTGTCAGCACAAAAATAAATCAACAAATACGACTTTTAAAAGACATAATACACAGTACAGAGATATTGACTGAAGAAACACAGATATTCTTTACTCATAAAAATGACTTAAAATCCACACACCTGATTTCCCGGCCCCCTGGCTTCCAAGCAGGGCCAGCTTGATGTCGTTCATGCCTGTGCTCTGTCAGGTCCTCAGCTGGCTCTCTCTCTGTGTTGTGTCTGGTATCTGGGTTAGTGTCGGCACACTAAATGCTCCTTACAGTCCAGGCTGGATGTGAGTACAGGACTGCCCCCCTCTCTTCCTCTTCAAAGGGCCGTTTCACTTTTTAAAGCTGAAGAGAGAGAAGAGGGGGGAAAACAAGTGCCCCTTCTATGCCGTCTATCTGTCTGTGTGCCAAGCGGTCCTTTGCTCTCTCACACCCCTCTTTTCTCTCTCTCCCTCTCTTTCCTGTATCCAATATAGCTCTCTCCCCCCTCTTTATTCCCTCTCAATCCATCTGTTTTCCTTCTTTCTGTCCTCTCATGTGCCTATATATCTCTCTATTCTGTCTTTTTTCCTCCTACAGAGAGGTTACCCAAAGGTCATGGCTGACTAAACCTATTGTTCTGTTCCAACTCTGGCACTGTAACTGTAATCCAGCAGCCATCTATGGACATTTGTGTTTATATTGTAATGTTATGGAGGCCCGTTCCCACCAAGAAAAGAAAAACATGAACTGATGAAATAGGAATGACAAAAATGTAAAAGATGGTAAGCCAAGATTAAAAGAATATAAGTAAAATTACTTATTGTCTTTTAGAAATTAAATATTGCCTACAACTTACTTGCAAAAGCAAATATATTCTGAGAGAAAATTCCTCCTGATATTTTATATCAACCTAATCAGAAAAGATTTTTAATGAACATATCTATATGTATCTGGAAAACATTCAGTCACAACATATTTACTTTTTTCTATCATATCCTCTTATGCAATACAATGTCTGTGAGTATGATTATTGTTTTTGTTGTTATGTGCTTCTGTTTAGGGACTTAAACACTTTAAGATTAGGGAAATTTTGTGGTTAAATATGGAAAAAGTTAACATTGATTTGAAGCACAAGATTGTGTTCAATCTGACATTCAACCAAAACCTCTAAATCCAACCACACGTGGGACTCAGGATGCAAGCCCTAGTCCCTGGTGTCAAAGTCCTGCAATTTGCACAAAAAAATCTTAATTTTCCATAATTACAACTTAATACAACTATTTTTGTTTTCATGATTCCCAATTTTTTATGTTCTCTTTTTTTTTTTTTCATTTATCTGGCAGAATTGGGCTTCTATATAATGATGCTTCGTATTCAGTTAAAATCAAGAAACCAACATTTTTATTTCTTCAGGTGGTGGAGTTATTGTTAACCTCTCTATTATAAGATCTGCCAACATCCTGCTGCGTCGAGTGTTGATAATATTCTGGCCTCAAGGAAAGTCATTTTATTGAAATTGGTCGATGTATTTTCGTGAAGGGAAGGCAGTGATATGATGGGGAAAAAATTTTGATGACTTCGGATATATACTTGAGTCACGGCTCACCAGACTGAAGCAATGTAGTAAAGCTGAGTGGCTTTGAGTGCAGCGTAGAAGCAAAACCATGTGAAGGCCAGCAATAAAAACACTGATTAGTGTATCAGTCATACTCCTGACATCAAACTCAATCGATTTAGACGAGCAATCCATTCCCTTCAGCTTCAGCCGCAGCACCAAACGTGTTACATACAGCCAATAAATCATCCTCCAGTAGCTTCGATTTCACACACACTAATGTCAGCCAACAAAATGAATATTCTTAAGACTAAAACCACATTTTTGTCCCCCCTGACCCTCTTGCATGCTGGGCATTTTGGGCCTATTTCCAGACTGCCTTCGTTTGATCTTGTATCTGTGTGCAAAATCTGTGACGTTCTTCCAAAATAAAGTCCTAAATTTGACCCACTTTGGAAAAGGCTGTGAAGACTTGTTTGAACTTGTCTTTGTGTTAATGGCATTTGAAATCCTCATTTTGGGTTGTTTTAGTCTATTTACATAGTTTCTTTATGATTGGCTGGAATAAATACTCTATAGCCGGATCCCTTCAAACATTACACATGTAAACAAGGCTTTTACAGTGTGTTACAGCAGATTATTCCACACGGTAAGACTTTGCATCAAAAAAGCTGTCGATCAATGTAAAACGTTTCAAAACTTCCTTTTTTGGAGTTTCTCTTCTTGTTGACTTTAGGATCATAGACCACATTATGTAGGTCCAAATTCATTCATGATGCACAGCATGCAAACTGCAAGGGCTTTTGAAATGTTTACCAAACTATGCTCTTTCCATTCAGTGATGTTTAGATATCATATACCTGGCAAATCAGCTTGCATGAAGCTAAATAATTGGTACCATATAACTTTACATTTTGGGAGTTCAGATGAGGACTGAAAACATCAACACGCCACTTAAATTCTTTGACTCGCTCATCAGAACGAAGGGGAATGTTGAGAGATTAATACTGCATATTGGGGAAATGTGTTCACCCCATTCATGCCTAATCTCAAACCAGTAAAGTAAGAATTTGAATCAGTCTTGAATGTTGAAACACTTGAGCTTGATCACCTCAATCAGCTGCATGCATTTTGGATCAGAAAAAACAATATTCTCCCACAATTAAAAAAATTTAAATTAAAATCACTTTTCCTCTTGTGCTTCTCGTCATCAGCCCTTCTCAGTGGATATTTCAGTTGTAATCAAGAAGACCCAAATTCCTGTGTTTTACTTCCAAGGCGAGCACACAGTGGAAGGTCCAGCCATCCATGGCAGCTTTTAATCAGAGAGGGAAAGACCATTTCTCCTGAGCTGATCAACACGTGGCTGTAAAGAGGCTTTCACATGGGACGACGTCATGTGCCCACAAAACAACACACACCAAGAAACACATTACTCCCACCAGCTGCATACCCACACACGAAACCACTCGCCACAGCACATCAGCAGCATCATTACGTAACGTCTGCGCACCAGGAGTCTCTGGAAGATTTGTGTTTATTCTGTGAAATGAGATTATCTGATTTGTGTGACATGTAAAAGTTATGTTGGACTAAAGATTTCCTCATGCCAAATTATGCCATTTCAAAACAAAAGGGGTTACTGTTACTGCATGTCATTGGAATTAGGTGGGTAGCCTGATATTCTTTCCAGAGATCTTGGAAAAGAATAAACACCAGCAGTTGGATTTACATGTGTCTCTGATGCATCTTGGTTTAGTTTTGCTTTGATTTAGCTGATATCTTTGACTTAGCTGACTTGTGAGAAACAAAAGAATACACAGCCATTTAATAATACATAACTGCTCCTATAAAATACAAATATTTATTAACAAGGTATATTAGATGAAGTATATTTAGTTCATTTTACCTTACCTTAGAATTAGCTTTAGTTAACTTAGTTTAGTTGTTTAGTTTGTCGCAACTCCACCTCATTAGCTTAGTTTGGTTACTTTATTTTGTTGATTTTATCAAAACAAAATAGCCTAATGAACATGCAGCGTGAAATAGAAACAAATGCATTGATAAGTAAAGTAAATTGGATGAAGCAGTTTTGTGGCTTAGCTTAACCATCCCAGTTTATAGGTTGGTTGTTTAGTTTATCATAGCTTTACTTAGTTTATATTTAACTTGATAAGTGATTTGGTTAGTCTATGTAAGATGTAAAGAATCATAAATCAAAAATACTGATGCAAAAACCAAACATATAAACATGACAGGTATCTAACCATCCGCACACAATATGGTAGCACAAGACACACACAATCTGACATAGGCCTAACTCATAAGCTAATTCTAAATCAAAAATAATGATCACTTTTTTTGGACAGGCAATTACAGAGAGGATTGTCAGCCTTTACAAAATCTTCCCACTGTTTTACTACAGTTTTAAATTTGAAAGGAAACACGGATTGCTTTATGCCACAAAACCAGCCGAGAGTGCTGTTCTTGTGTAAAATGTATTAGAGCTTTCAGTTGTTTCCAGCTGCTGCAGTTGACGGAAGGAGTGAATACATGGAAAATCACAATTAGTCCTATTTATCTTTATCCAGAAAGCCAAACAGTAGAAACAGGAAATGGCAGGATTTATGGAAAATGTGACCTTAATCTTCAGCAACTCTCACAGAAACAGCAACAGTGACTTGAAAATGGCAGCTATCAATAACTCTGACAGAGGTCTCACTAATTGTTCCAATATGAGTTCATGTTAAAATTGAAAAATCCAAAGCCATGGTCATCCTTTACTGCCCTACGCTTGCTGGTTCAGTTGTTAGTCATTCATTCCCTTCACAAACTCACATCAACATCTTGAACATGTTACTGTATGAACCATCGTCCACAGTGTGACAGGCACAGGCTGGATTGATGAAGTGCAGAGGCAGCGACTGTTTAACCTGAAAACATCATATAAGACCCTTCATTCTCATTCTTGAGATTGAATGTTTCTTCTTCTTCTTCTTCTTCTCTCCCTTCAAGTTTGATTCCCAAATTTGGGCATCAGAAGAGATGTTTCGACATGTTTCCATAACTAACATGTTGAAATTATGAAGGGAAATGACTGATGACTGACTGATAGTGTGTCGGTGGTCTTTGAACTTATCCTATTTTGAAGTTTATGGCTTTAAAAACATCCAAATCTCTGTCTTTGGTACAAGAACATTCTCAAGTTAAAATGATACACAACATTATCTTCTTTCTGTGTTACAACCCAAAGCTTTTACACTGAGATACAGTCAATGATAAAAAATACATCTTTACAGGGCCAACTTGTTTGTTGTTCCTGGCTTTACAGATTATTTATATTCATGAACATACATGTTTTGTGCCTTAACCTAACCAAAACTTAATCACAGTGGTGTAATATCAGAAAACAGTTGCTGAATCTTAAATAAAATAAACTGTAATGTTACAAATACTCACGCATACTATCCAAATAAAGCTCTGCTCTCAACACTGTCCAAAGATAACATCATACACTTATCCCACTCCTGGATCATTCAAGAAAACCAAAACTGTAACTGAAATTAGTCTAAATGGCCCTAAATAACCCAAATAGTACCAAGAAATCCAGGCGGGCAGCTTGAAAGTAACTGTTCCAAAGTGATGATGAATGAAAACTATCAGGTGTCTAAGAGTTGCTAATGCATGCTCTTGGCTTTGGTCTAAACAGTAGATGTAGGTCTTATCTCAAAGAAGACCAGTGCAGCCTGTGTAGCGCCTGTCTTTTCCTCCTTCTTATGCGTATTAGTGATTCACCCAACTTCAGACAGTGAGAGGGGAGTATGCGGGCTTTTGATGTTGTTAAATGAAACATCTGCACATTGCGACACAGGAAAAAAAGAGAGGAAGAAAGACTGAAAACAGAGCAAAAGAGAAAGAAAGCAGACATGTGACTGAGGTTTACTAGACTGAATAAAGTGGGTTTAAAAGACACAAGAGGGGAATAAACCTCCCTTTGAAAACATTTCACGGTCAATTTCCCCCATTTTATCTTAACATTACCCATAGGGGTGCTGGACCTTGAGAGCTCCCTCTTATGTTTCTCTGTGTGTCTTCATTCAATGGTTGACAATTCTTAGATCCCAGTAGATGTAAACACAGATCAAAGACACTATATAGTGTGGGTGAGTGGGTTTTATCAGTGGTTGCCACAATGGTTTGTCCATTTAAAAAAATCTTTTATTAGGTTCATGGAGTAAAAAGTCATAGCGCAGCTTTCTTGACAGATTATATTTCATAGAAGTTCATTTGGGCAAATAAAGTAGAGCTTTCTGGCTCACATTGCAGTCACTTTATGCTCTCTCCTGTTGAAAAATTACACTGAGATGAATCTTGGAAGAACAAAATGTCCTGAAACAAAAAGAATACCATGTTTAGGAGCTAAAAATTGAAAACCACAATCAGAAACAGACAGCAACAATGCACATGGAGCAGACCACCAAGGACTGCAGCCGAGTCCAGGAGAAATAACGGCTTTGACGTCTGCTAGATTAGTGTTTTTCAGAGTGCGGGCCACCAAGGGTGCATCAGAAGTTTTGAGGGAAGATGCTAAAAAATAAAAAAACATTGAATTCTTACTATATAATTATGTGTATTATTATCAATTGTTATTTATAAAAAAATATAACATATTGAAATCTTGTTGTATACAGTGTTGTGAAAGACTGGCAAAAGGGGGGGGGGGGCTTGGCAGCAGATTCAGGATAAAAACTACAGGAAATATCAAACAAACTATGTGCATGTGTATGCACATAGTTTGTCTTCTTTCTTGATCTTGATTTGGTGTCTCGTGTGTGTGTAAGACTCTCAAATTCTCTTTTGTGTTTTTCCTGCAGAGACATTAATGACCAAACAGGATGACTGAGTTCATCAGCAGCCTCTCAGGTGAAGAAAGTGCTATTTTACTGCTATATCTGCTTTGATGGACGGTATCGAGTTATATCCCTTTTACTGCCCAAGTCATTTACATTTCACCTAATTATTTGCAATCCTGGCTGTATGCCTATAGAATTTAAACATTTAATTTTTAAAAGCCAGACCTTGTAGGGCATATCTTCAAAAGCACAGATATCAAAACAAAAAGCAGATGTGACGATGAAGGTTTATGGGGAGTGTTTCTGTGAGATTATTTCTTTAAATGAAATTATATGCATTTTCTTTCTGTTGCTGTCCAGTGATACATCATAAGCAGAGTGTCATTTCTGTTTTGACCCTGTGTCCAAAAGAGGTCTCGGCTTCATATTTAATGTCTTGTTTTGTGGTCATTGTGTCATTCTGAGTAAGACTGAAAAACTGAAAAAATCTGCTGTGTGCAGAACCAGCAGGGAGAATGTAAAGGGAAATATCATATAAATGGAAAAAAGAAAGCACAAAAAAACCTTATAACTGCAACTACTGTATTTTCAAACCTTTGACTGTATGTTTAAAAGATGTATCTCCAGTAAACATATATATACTTCAAACTACAAAAAACAAAGATGACCAACAAAACAATAAAAAAAAAACATTTTGAAACCACAAGAGGAAAAAACCTTGAGAAGGAGATAGTGGAGATAGATAGTTTATCAGTGTGCTGCAACTCTGACTTTTAACCTCCAGTTTTAGTTAAAGGACCAGTGTGTAAACTTCAGTGGCATCTAGCAGCAAAGTTGCAGATTACAACCAACTGAATACTGCTCACCTTCTAAGCGTGTAGGACAAAGCTTCACAGGGGGTCACAAGGCCTTCTTGAGTTTAAGGGCTGTAAGAAAACTTATATTTTTTACAGGTCTGTATCTCAGCATTTCATTCATTTCTGTGAAGAAAACAAAATCAAATTAAAGTTTAGAGTTACATATAAGTTATAAACTTTGAGGAACTGAACACAAGCTATACTCACAGAGGCTTTACTCACTGCTACACAGCCTTGTCCTGCATTAGAAAGGTAGAGTTAAAACAGCCAAAGAGATAACAGACCAATGGCAAATTACCAGGGAGATGAAAACACTGATTTTGTTATTTTTATACTTTGAATATAATATGAAATATCCATAAAATATGTTACTTAGTCAGGGGAGTTTAATGACAGAAAAGGAGGCCCTTAATGAAAAGGTTCGGAACCACTGGTGTAGGAGAAACTACGGTGGCTACGAAAGTTGTGAAACACATAAAGGCCTCACCTATAGTTATATATGTTCATATATTATATATATGTTCCGTTTGTCTGTTCTGGGCGTTGCAGGATATACATTGGACAGAGCTTCAGACTGAAGTGAAGGCAATGCAAAGTTGAGCTTCTAGCAGACAGATGAATTTGACTGATATATGTCTGATATGTGTGTGTAAATAATTTAAAAGGTTCATGTTCATTTTTAAAAATCTGATTTATTATGAAATTTAAAGTTACAATCAGAATTTTAAATGACAAAATACAAATTCAGGATTCAGTCAAATTCCCATTAATCAAAGCTGCATCATTCAAGCTCAGTCCACATAGTATTCAGTAACAACACCTATAAGTACATAACAATTCAGAACATAATTCCATATATATATATACATATAGTGGCAGAACTTTTACAAAAGGTGTCTCAAGGATCTCTGAAAAGGTCTGGGATCCAAGATACATTGACTGGGGAATTACGTGTTATATGTTATATAATACATCTTTCACACCGTGGGGGTGGGTTCTTTGTACTTAAGAACAATTGTTCTCACTGTTTCTCACTGATTAATTTCCCATTTTGAGTCATTTGTATTTGAATTTACAAGCATTTAGATACCTTAGTAACAGGGCTTATGCTTACATTACCACATATTATTATCTGTACCACAGTGAGCTTTGGGCCCTGATTTAACCGTAGTAGTATAATGGAAGTCCCATCACACAAATTAAAAAATATAGTCCATTAAATAACTTATCTGAACCAGCTAGAGCTACATTTTTTAAAAATGCTTCCTAATCTTTAATTTCAATTTTTTTTAATTAATTTTTAATTCACAATCAATTCATGAGATGTTGACCAAATTCTACTGTTCATCTTTCAGAAAATCAAATGTGATTAATTTGCATTCGACAGATTTCATTCTAGATCAGCAAACAGTATCAATCCCTCTCTACCTGAAGTTCTGTGAAAAAATACCTGAGATTTGAATATGACATAAGTCATTAGTTTCCTATTATAAGGTTTGATTCATGAAAAAGAAAAAGTACAAAATGAATGGTAAAGAAATTCACCTCGACATGCTTCCCATTAATTAAAAGGCTTTAACAACACTGCATGTATTGTTTAAACTATAGTTACAGGTAATATTTCTTCCCACTAAACACATTTCTCTTCTTCCTGTAGTTTTCCTTCTTCTTCCTGCTCAGCCACTGGAGACGAACTCTGTTCATCGTGTCCTGGCTGGCTGATGGGAACGTCCGCTCAGGAAAAATCTCCTTCAGTTTGCTCAAGAAAAACACCTCCATGTTTCGACCAGCCTGGGCCACCTCTGAGTCTGGCTGCACGGCAAAATAAATGTAAAAAAAACACAGTTTTTCTAGTTTAAACTTTATTTATCCAGGGGTAGCTGACTTACAATAAGCTAGTTCAACCAGTAAAGCCTCTTTACCTGCACGCTACAGTACACTGGTCAAGTAAACACTCTATCTCTAAACACTAGATTCTTCACCAGTGAGGAGCAAGACAGATTTAAGATCTAATTTGTTAGTAATGGCCTTACAGAGTTTTAAATGAAATATCTCAACAACTATTTGATGGATTGCCATTGGTACAGCCATTCATGGTCTCCAATGGATAAATCATACTGACTTAGATGATCCTCTGACTTTTTATCTGTGTTTAATACTAATTAGCAAATGTTAGCATGCTAACACACTAAGATGATGAACATATTAAACATCATGCCTATTGAACATCAGCATGTTAGCATGCTGGCATTAGCATTAAGCTCAAACTACCACTGAGTCTACAGACAGCCTCAAAGAGCTGCTAGCATGGCAGTCTCTACATAAAGAAATCAGAGTGGAAAATAATTAAATTAAAGTGGCCCATTTTTCTGCTACATGTGGAACTTATTCCCACAGGCTATAGGGCAGAAATAATTCAATTACAGTAGAAATTAGATTACAGCGGGAAGTCCGCTCAGATTCCAACGACCTTATGACAAACTTACGTAATTGAACGTAGCGCAGTTCTTGAACATCAGCAGGACATCATCAACAAACTGCTCGGCAGTGAAGTAGTGGAGAGTGTTGCTCTTGTCCAGTTTCCTGCGGATCACTGACAGGTTGATGGGCCTCTTGATGATCTGGTAGTAATTTCGGGCCTGGAGCACATTCACAGAGATTAGATCATTGTAGCAGAGATTGTTTTTATTTTAACATTGCAGCTTGTTATGAAAGTTAAGTGGAACGTTTTACATAGACAGTAGAACAGTGTTTTCTTGGGTAGATTGTTATAACCTTTATATATGCCATCTATTTGTGCTGTTTCTGCCCTGCAGAGATTTAAGTGAATCTAGCAGTGTAGGTCTTCCCTTTATTGTTGCTAAATGATTTTAAATTGGTTGCTTTGTTCCATTTGATTTATAGTACTTGGAAAAGGCCTGGAGGTTTAAGAAATAATGCAATTTTTCAGGATACATTGGGTGAATTTGATGTTTGCAACAGAAGTTCACATAAGATTTTTCACTTAAGGTTTAGGTTTTAATGTATTTTCTTATATATAACCAATAGCAGTGTAATATAATCCCTTATAGAATGGGCCCAATATTTGTTAAAACATGTAAGTCAAATTGAATGACACCACACTGTAAATTCCTGTAAAGGTTAAGTTTTGTGCTGATAAATGTTATTCAGTACTGTCGGTGTGATTTATTTGATGTGATTTGTAAGAGACAAACATGTACAGATATAAATGGAAATCTGTTGGACTGACCAGGGGGCTGACAGGTTCATGGAACGGAGCGCTGAGTGCGTGACAGTACAACAGCAGAGTCAGCTTCTCACACCTCTGCACAGGAAACAGACATACACAGTTACTAAAAAAAATCATCTGTTCGTTCACTAATAGGCTGATAAATAAATGAAAATTAATACTTTTACAGCTAGTACTTTACATCTGATGAGGGTCAAACATCAGCACAGAAATCAAACTGATTCTGTAGCTCACCCTCTGGTCCTGGTTGGACAGTGTGTATGGAGCTTTGACTCCCCCACAGGAGTGCAGGTCCTCACAGTCATAGCTCTCAATGGGCTCCTGGTAAGTTCTGCACAACGTACAGACCCAGTCACCTCTGGAGGACACACATGACCTTGGTTATTTCAAAATTTAGAGATGAAGAAATAACATTATTTCACCCTTTATCACTGTCAACAAATCTCATAAAAAGACCAAAACCAATGAATGCTTCCTATAACCAAGCATTGTCTGTGGAGCTAAAGTCGGATATTTCTTATGATCCATGTTGCAGAACCCCACTGTCATATGCAATATGTCGCATTTGGGTGACATATTTCTTGATTAGAATGAACTCAGCTAGCACATCAAACTAGTGAAGTAGTAGTAAAGTGTTAATAAGAAACCACTTCCCCATGCATGCTCGGTATTGTCTGCCCAAAATATAGTTGAAAACAATAAGTAAACCTAATACCACCTTTGTCTTTGTATGTGCAAGACATGAACCTCCATAGATTTCCTGTAAATGCCTAAAGGAGCCTCTGCTGTCTAGTGGGCTCAATTACAAACACAGAAATGGAATAATACCAACTTAACAAATATCTTGATTCAAGCTCAGGTGGTTGAGTGGGTCATCCAGTCATTACAACTCTCTGTGATTTACAGAGTTTCTTGATGGACAGTAAAGTAACTGCTGCGAAACATAGCTGCTGTTCGCTAGTTATCTTAGCCGTAGCCAATGTAACCAGGCTCAGCAGCTTCTATGGAGCTAATGGTAGAGGCGAAGAGACTGAAGAGGATGATGAAGGAGAAAGCTAAAAAGAGAAAAGGGGAGAGAAGCTGCCGTACAAGAGTAAATCTTGGACTCACTTCTAGTCGTTGGCGAGAGTTTCGTAAAATAAAAGGCTATCGACAGTCCTTACCACCTTTCAAGCCTCTAAAAACTATTCAGATCTTAGAAGGGAACCTTATCCTTCCTTTGAACTGCTCAAATGTGGTCACAAGTATAGATTACAAAGAGTCACAAGCAAAAAGAGTTTAGATCCATTGGCCTGAGTCACAGTGAGGGACATTTATGATGACAGTCGGTGCATATGATAAAGGTGTACATAGCCTGTTGGTGCCCAAGTACTTACAGTGGGAAGCTGATGAGAGCAGGTATATGACAGGCTAAGTGGTAAACCTTCGGGCAGCGGTCACAGCAGAGCAGATCTCCTCCGTTCAGACACACAGCACAGAAATCTTCACTTTCTGTCTGCTCAGTCCCTGGTCCCGGTTCAGGCTGTGGGATGAATGAGTCTCCCTCCTCCTGTGAGCAGCAGAGATCAGGATTTTGATCCTCACTGTTGTCCACTTGAACTATATCTGCTTCATATTTACTTTCAGATTCATCCTCTTGCTCCAGGGATCGATCCAGATCTGCTTCTGGTTCTGGATCCAGTTCGATCACAATGGTCTCCTCTGGATCTGGATCCAAATAAAACATCTCTGAATCGGTTTTCCCGTCTGGGTCCCATTCATCAGTTCCAGAATCAAACAGGATATACGGCTGATCTGGATTAGATTCACAGTCGAAGCCTGAGTCCTGCTCTGGTTCTCCAGAGGAGGCGCTGTCAGGACAGTATGGTTCAGTCCAGGAGGTTGGTGTTGAATCTGGTTGGTTGAGATCAGATGACTCTGCTGGTTTAGACTGAGGTGATGCCTCGCTTATCTCCAAAACGTTTGCCTCATTTTGATTGAAACCATTCTGCAGGCAGAGACAAGAAGAAAAAAGTGAACATAACAGGGAGTTCGTGTTAATCGTTGACTCACATCAAAGTGCTTCATCTCGGTACCTGTTGAGAATGATCCAAACAGGAAGCACTGTTGTGGCGCTTGGCGTGTGTTTGGCATGGCAGTCGTACCAGAGATACCACAGGCTGCAGAGATGCTGATAAAGACACAGACTGGAAGTTCAGACGCTCCAAGCTCACAACGGGTATGCAGGAATTTCCCAGAATCCTTTGGGCCTCTGGGTGAATGCTGGAAAAAAATAATAAGTCTTAGTTGACTCACTGTAAGTAGAACAATAATGTGTTACCCTCTGACAGAGGGATTATTTTCCCAGTGTGTTGTTAGGAGAATGTGTTCACCACGTTGTCCTTTATTTTACCTTATTCTCTTTAATAAAGCTGCTACATCTTTTCCGGGTGGTCTTTGTCGTTTTGATGAAGAAGAGGCTTTTCCGGTCTTTCCATTGCAAGAGTGGTTTGACTCCTCTTCCATCTCACAGAATCCAGTGCCGCAGATTCATAAAAATAAATAGAGGTTTAATGTAATTTTCATCATACCAGTAGTTTATTTAAATATCAGTAACCCTTCCTTAACACTATAAAACTCATCCAGCTGTTGTGATAAACATCTGCTCAGTAATTAAAGCAGGTTTTAACAGTCTTTGTCTATATTATATGTTCTGCTGGGAGGCCTGGCCCCTCTGACGTGGTTGCTGGATTTGAACCAGTCTCAGATGGCACGGCCTCTGGTGCCAGGTGTACTCTACACTTGGCTACCTGTGGCAACAGGGTGGCACGCCTTTGGGGGAAGTTGCCATGGCATCTGTAAGGCAGGTGTGCCATCTCCAGGAGATCGGGCCTCTTGGGGTGAAAAACAGAAGAGAAAACACAGAAGAAGCTTCTGGTTTGAAATCTCCTGTGTGCTCAGTGTTTGGTACAAGAATACATGAATCAAAACAAACAGAAAACCACCAAAGAAACAGCAGAATAAACATTTTCCGATTAATTGGACTGCTCATTTGTACAAAAAAATATACAAAAAGACAAATTATTGTAACTTACACAGAAAAGACATTGGGTACATAACTACTAGTAACAAAACATTAACAACTTAGAGGAATCAGGTTTTAGTTGCATTATAATTGGATCTTACCTGAGTATGAGTGTAACAAAAAAACAAGATGTCTTCTTCAGAAAGCCAGGTGAATGTGTCTCCAGGTGGATGTGAGCTGAGGATGAGAGAGATGGCACCGTTCCATGTGTCCAGTGTCAAGGGGGACACAGCTGATTTGATTGGTGGAGAGCGTGTGATGCTATCATTTGTATTACACTGTAGCCAGGATCCAGGTAAAAAGCATGTAGGACAAGAAAAGAAGTACATCAATTAGTGAATCATTTAAGAAGAAATCCCTTACAGGTTTGATGAAGTGGAGCCAGTCTTGGCTCGATTGCAAACGTTTTTACCTATCTTCAGTTGGAGGTACACAGTTCCCTCCCAGTAATTCTGACCAATGACAAGTTACAGGCTGTAAAGTTGACTCAAGCTTTGAATAACAGACCAACTGTATGTAAATCCATTCTAACTCTGTCTGATGCAGTATCACCTGATAGCCTAGAGTAAGCAAAAAAGCACCGCATTCAACTCATTCATGTGTTTTCTCTTCTCATAACCTTCTCGTTATTATATTAATTCAATCTCAGATTTACTATATTCGATAAAATAGTTCCCAAATGTGTTATCATGTAGCACACTATATGCACATTTGTTGGCATACCAACCTTTACATTCACTCTGGACTTATCATCTCTACAAAATATGTAACGGAAATCTTTCTCTCCTACTCCTAATATTTTCTGTCAAATGACAGCCGCTTTTTATCTCTGCAGCAGTTATTTGGCTGCAAAACCACATTAATTAATACAAGGTATAAATGCACCCATGACAGTTATCGGTCAGTGAATGGCTGTGCTCCATATAACATGATAAGGGCTGAGGTGGTAGTGGAATGTGTCAAGAGATATAAAAGTAATATAATTAACATGTACATCACTTTACTGTTGCAGCTGGTAAATGTGGACTTAATTTTAATTACTGCTTGGTAGATTTATCTATAATACACCTAACTATTTGTTGATTACATTTTGGATTCATAATTTGAACCTGCAAAGTAACTGTCAGATAAATGTTGTGGAGCAGTGTTGATGATGCACAACATGCAGCACTTCCAACTTGTTTCCATCACAGCTGACCTGGTTAATCCCTCACATGTTCAGTCCTGGTGAGGTTTCACTGTGCAGTGACATTTTTTATTAAATAATGCATATATGTGAAAACATTGTATCACAATTATATTTTCTATAGCCAGATTTTGTTAAGGTGTGCAAATGGCACAAATATCAGGATCTTCAAATAATCATGAAGTAGAGAGAGAGTAGCCTGTAACATATTTCCATGAAAACATCAACCAGAAAATCAAGAGAGCCTCTGATGCAACAGCTAGCATAATAGTTCAGGATTAATGAATAAGAAACCAGACTAATTTACTTCACTTTTGACTGTAGAAATTGTAGCTGAACTCAAATATTGTTGTTTTATTTATTTGAGGAATACTTTATAACTAAACCTCAAATTAAGTGTCAATAAGAGTTTAATTGAGTGTAATTAATAACAACTTAATTTAGTTAATTTTGTGCCAACACGTCCCTGTACGTTACTTAGGCTACAGAAATCAAATGAATTTAAACACCTAACTTTTAGTAAAAATGTGCTGAATGGGGACATGTCTTCTCTACGGAAGTGTATTGCATTCACTTGAAATTTTATTTTTTGGTTGTTTTTCTGAGTAATTTATTTTTCTGAGTTTAGAGAGCATTTGAAACAATAGACGCATTCATTCCTTTATTGAGAGCTCGATTTAACGGAAACAAACATAACCAGCTTGTTTAGTTCAATAAAGTTATACTTTGATCTGGGTTTAAGACACTGGGAGATAGTCCTGTCTTTAAGTCATATAGATGGTATTATCATTAGTTTGTCCACTCTACGCAGGCACCTTAGGACTCAGCGGTTGTTCAGAAGGAAAGCCCATTCAGATCAGCAATGTACGGTAGATAGTTGAAGATGGGGCATGTATCTGCGGGCAGGAGTCATCATCGGTCCATGGGAGTCAGTTGCAGGTTGGAGGTTCTCGCGGGAGTTCAAAGTATCTCGATAATTCAGAAAAAAAATGACCACGAAAAACAGAAAGAAATTACTCTGTAAAACAGGAAAATAATTACTCAGAAAATCAGGGGGAAAAAATGGTCAGAAAAACAGAAAAAAATGATACAAAAAAACAAACCAAAAATAAATTACTCAGAAAAACCGGAGTTTTCTTCTTCTTTTTTTTTTCAAGTGAATGCAATACGCTTCCGTACTTCTCTTCTCCTATTTGTAAACAAAACTTGTGCTGGATAACACTTGGACACACTCCGTACCTTCCTGCCATCCATCACTGGGCGTCGCTGTGGATTTCTCTGCACTTTGTTTCCAGTAGCCAAATCTCGCACAAAACCGCGAGGTTTACAAATCCCGTTCCTCTTTCAACTAGGCTCCAAGATGGTAGGTGCTATCATGTATCCCCGTGCATTGCAATTTGGTTAAATCTATGCCCATCCTTGTTCATTCCTACAGCAAAATATTATCCGATGGCGGTCTACAGTATATCCATCTCCTGTGGTCACTCACTGGACGCTATCATCGTGATTAATTAACATTATGGGTATTTTTGAGCGGTCCACTGTGAGAGAGCTCGGCTCTCCTGGGCCCAGGGCTGTAGCCGTCAGCCTATTCTGTCTGTCCTTACATGTTTTCACCTCTGTAGTCTTCATTAATGTGACAGAGGTAGTCACGGTTTAACACACAAATGTCCCCGGTGTTAATGTGTATTAATTGTGTTTGAAGTCTGCCGGTAAAAGCAGATGAGTTAGCATTAGCTTCCTATGATGCCAGGCGGCATGAAACCAGTCAAGGGTTGTTAAGCGGTGGTTTTAAGCTTGTACTACAACTTCGCCTTAAGATAAAACAACATGCGGACGTCTGTGTAATATGAATTATTTGCTGAAATCTGTTCTATGTTGACAGACTGCCAGTTAGCTAACTTAGCTAGCCAGCCAGCTAGCTCCACGGGGATTGAACGACTGCTGAAACTTATTTTCTAACCTGTATCAAACCTGTGTTTACAGCCAACCAAGAAAACCAAGACCAGGAAGCTCCGAGGACATGTCAGCCACGGACATGGTCGCATTGGTGAGTTTTTTTTAACTCTCCTGAAGATGGTCTTCGTGGATGTGGAGTAGTGTGTCCCTGTACATGTGATTGCATGGTTAACGTTGACTTGTCCACCCCACAGGCAAGCACAGAAAGCATCCTGGAGGTCGTGGTAATGCTGGTGGTATGCATCACCACAGAATCAACTTCGACAAATAGTAAGTGCTGCATGACATGGAGATATTCTGGTGGTGTGTTGGAGTGAAGTTGAGGGGGGTCCAGACAGCATGCTAATTGGCTTACATTGAATCATTGACAGTATATATAATGGCATTAAACCTGAAACATTTCTCTCAGGACTGTGCATATACATGTTTACAAATGCTCTGATCAGGGCAATGCCAAATTCCAGTGTATAATTTTAGGCAAATGCACCAAAGACAGATACCTGTGGGTCTGAAGTACAAATGGCAGGTTTTTAATTAGTCCATCAGCTTTAATATCTAATTGAAGAAATATAAGTTTAGCAATGTTCTGTTACAATAACAAGATATGTTGTACACACATTTATCAGTCTTTTATCCTGGTGGTGTATCTTATCACCGTGTTGGTGCTGTTCAGTCAGTTGAGGTTTTTGTTGTAGAGACTAGAGTCTCACCTTGACACAAATCATTGTCTTGGTGTGCTAGAGTCCTCTTAGAGTGAAGACTGGTCCTATTCACCGACTGGCTCTTTGTAGGCCAGTCAGCCACATGGGCAGTTACAAACTTATGACCTGATCTTCAGCCTGATTTATACTTCAACGTTTAATCAATGCCATGGGTACAGTGCAGCCTTGTACCCAATGCCACAGCCTGACATGCACATCCCCAGAAATGTAACACTGTCCTCACACACTTGTCTGAGAGAACTAATTTTTATTTGCATTTCAGCAATCTAGTTTAAGCATTTTCTTTTGAAATGTTGAAAGTATTATGTTTTTAAATAAACTTAGAGAATTTAGAATGAAGAATTTACTAATTAGTCTGCATTATGGGGCAGACTGTTTCTCTCTTACACACACAGGCTTGTTCTGTCCCACCTGTTTCTTTAATTTTCTGTGTGACTTTTTTCAGCAGTATGTTTTGTAATGTTTTTTTTTTTTCCCACTCATAATTCCGTTTTCACATCTGCGTTTGGGGGCAAAGCTGGTCATGAATTGAAACAATCAAAACCAACATGGTACCGAATGACATTGGCACCAAACTGCTGGTCACTGTTGCTTTACCTGGTCTACACTGGTCAAATAAACACTATCTGTCAGTGTGTTTCTCTCCAGATCAGTGTGATTGTCACTAGACTGTACAGGGCAGGAAGTGCGAGGGGAAATAGTCCACTAGTTAGTCGATTGCCTATAAGTATACTGTTAGTGCGAGATGCTTTGCTGAAGGAAGGGAGCTAAACACAATGTTTGAGAAACGTGTAAAAGCAATTGACCTTTGTCTTTCTTGTGTCTCCTCAGCCATCCTGGGTACTTTGGTAAGGTGGGTATGAGACATTACCACCTGAAGAGGAACACAACCCACTGCCCCACCATCAACCTGGACAAGCTGTGGACTCTGGTGAGCGAGCAGACCAGGCTCAACTATGGCAAGAAGCCCGAAGGACCCGCCCCCATCATCGATGCTGTGCGCGCTGTAAGTGTTGGCCACATATTGTCATTATTATAGATGTCTCCAGCCCTCATCACTTTTACTTGAATACCTGTACCTGAATGATCAATGCCTGTTTTGATTTGCTCACTGGAAACTGACCAAAGCAAGGTCATGAGTATATTTGTGACAAGCTTTGTAGATAAAATATAGTATGTTATCATGATGGCTTTGGAGTTATTGAAGTTGTTTGATTTTTCTCACAGATGACAAAGTTTCCTTGGTCTTAGTCTTTGACCTAACTAGGATTAACATACCTAGTACCTCCCTACTGGATGCACTGTAGTCGGTGTACTCATCTCTGACATGGGGCAAGTGTATTTCCCAAGTTTGCTTTGTTCAGTGTGAGTCTTTCCAATCTTGGTACACGCAGCCACGTCTGACAAGAAGTTGTGCTAAAATTTAAACATTCATAAATGCCAAATTTTTGCCTTGATACTTGTGACCAAACTGATTTCCACCCACTCTTGCTATTGGTGTTATATTTCAGTTAAAATGTGTTGCAGCAAACATTTAAAGGGACAAGAACATCCACACTGAGTACAGTCACTAACAACTGCAGACGGGAGATAATCTTAGCAGCATGTTCTGATATTTGGAAAGGAATTGCTAAACTTTGCATTGGATCGTTGGATGGAGATTTGTACCACGTACTTAGTGCTGTGTTCAACAACCAGTATTAAAGGTCCAGTGTGTAACATTTAGGAGGCAGAAATATAATCATAGGTATGTTTTCATTTGTGTGTAAAGTAATAATTCACCCAAATAAGGAAAATTAGCCTTTTATATCTTCGAACACCACAGTTGACCATGTTTCTACAGTAGCCCAGAAGGGACAAATCCAATAGTCTTTAGATGGAGCCGTTCATGTTGAGGGTTTTTTTTAAAGTTAGTTTTTCCTTCACACTTGAAAGAGTATGATTAAGGGAGGGAGTTGCAATAATACCACTGTTTCTGGATGTGTTTTGTTAAATTATAGTTGTTGAGTAGATTGGGTTTACTAACAAAATCAGCACGGCTGAATGTTGCACTATTCAGCATTATTTTGTCAGATCAAATGTCTTCATGCAGATGTGCTAAGTGGTCTGGTTCTATTTTACCATATTTTTGATCTTGCAGGGCTACTACAAAGTTCTGGGCAAAGGCAAGCTGCCCAAGCAGCCCGTGATCGTCAAGGCCAAGTTCTTCAGCCGACGGGCCGAGGAGAAGATCAAGGCAGTGGGAGGAGCCTGTGTGCTAATGGCATAATGGTCCTGTCAGTGTGTTTTTGCAAAAATAAACTGTATAAATGGGAATTGCATGTTTGTCATGTGTGATTTATATGCCTCCATATATGGCAGTTATGGTATGTGCTACATTTTGCTACTTGGAAATGCCAGCAGTATTTACTGCGTGCATGGTAAATGCAAATTTGATATTGGGTTGTTATTGGAAAGCTTTATGCTCAAATGAATTGTAATAAACCTGAACAGAAAGGTTTAAATCAGTATTACAATGTAAAATGTTTGCTTCAACTGAGAGCAGCTGGGTTGTTGAGGCCACTCAAAATATGCAGACTCTAGGCAACGTGGATCTTCATCAGCACATTCGGCATAAAGTAATGTCATAGGCCGTCTTCAGCTGTCTCAGGGTTGCTTTTATCAAGTAAAATGTGCCATTATTTAATTGTAAATACACCAACTTCTGTTTATTTTTTACTTGCTCTGTAAATGGTTAAGTCAAAAACGTTTCTCTGAAGCTCAGTTCTCTAAATAATGTGTGTGTGTGTATACATAGCAACTTAGGATCAGCCCATATCAAGGCCCATTCCCAAATACAGATCATTTACTTGTTTGAACAGATAATGGTGTACTCGCTCATACCTACTGAAAAGAGATGGCAATGCATTTTAGTAAATGCTGAACCGAAATGTGAAGAAAGTAAAACATCCTGTGCATTAAGTCTTGTCAGGAAGCTGATCACAGAACACTGGTCATCTGCCTTTCTGGCCTGTTAGAGCTGTCTTCCTGTGACCTCATGACAGGCTTTTAAATACACAACAATCACACAAGTTTAAAACCAGCCAGGGATATATGGGATCCCAATAAACGTGTGTATTTTACAATAGCCACACTACAAAGTGAGTACTAACGATTGCCATGTAGAGGAAAGTGAAACGTCTCGTGGGCTCTGTATGAGGGGGCGGGGTCTAACATGCAGGATTTCCTGTCCTGTCATTTGAAAACAGGCTGACTGAACCACAGCTGAACTTGTGAAGCTAAATGAGGGACATGTGAGGACTACACGCAGCCTGGATGAAGAAGCGTTGCTTTCTTATGTGTGTGTTTACTTGCTGAGCCGCCCAGCTCCTCTTGCGTTGAACAGGTAAACAAGTAAATAAGCTCATTACCCGAGATTTGTTGACTCAGCGCGCGGAACAGTGAAGTTATTGTGACGAAACGTAAACAGAACGTGACGTGCGTTGGATCGGTCTGACGTTCCGGTGTACTCGGTGCTCCGAGGTGAAGGCGATGGTTGACTGATCACAAGAGAAAGTGAGTTGCTACAGATAAAAGTACAAAACCATCGGCTTTCTGGTGCCAGTCAGTGGGGTGTTAATCTTCACGCATGCGCAGTTCCCCGGCATTTATGGTACTATTATACTGCATGTGTAGTTGTTGGCGTTTAAATGTTATAATTTTCATTTTAATTGGGAAGCCACCGTGATCAGAAACGCTCTCTGCATATGTAAGTTGCCGATATGTTTTTTGTGAAACCAGCAAACTTAAATGATCATATTCTAAGGACACTTACTTCCATCAGTAATGAACTCAGAAACATGAATAGCATGTCAAACAGTTTGTCTGGGGCCTTTTTATATTGTCCTTGCATTGTCTCCACCATGCTGTGCTGCATCAGGATGCTCCAGTCGCTCAGAGAAAGGAGTACTAATGTAGGGGGGCAAAAGGTTGGCTCAAGTCAACAGGGTCAATCTTAATGTTTAAACACTGTAGGATCAGGGAAAGCCTTGCAAAACCTAGAGAGACTCCAGGTGTAGGGTGAGGATGTCCTCATTGCAGGGAGTCTTCAGGTTCTTCGAATGCCCCAGTGGTTCTTGTGCAGTAGAGGAAAAAGACAGGAGAAAGGGTTAGACCTATATGGGTTTGGACAAAAATTGCATTGGAAGATGAGGTGTGGTCTTTGTTTTGATCAACAGCATTTGCTGCTGATGTTTAACAAAGTGGGAGTTTGTATATAGTTGTCTTTTTAGATATGTAATGAGTGTGTACAGTGCTGTGCATTCAACCGTTGTGGGATATGCACGTGGTCAGATGAAACTAAGTTGTGTGTGGGATATTAACCCAAGTTGTCACCCTGCAGCACTCATGGCATGGGTGGGAAATAACTTTTTTATATAATAAAAAAAGCAACAAGCTTAAGCCATGGGTCTCAAACTCCTCTCTCTTCATTTCTTGGGCCGCCTTTTGTTGTTTGGCTGCAAACAACAAAAGATAAAATGATGATATAGAAATTTATAAAAAGTGCTGTTTGCATTTTATGATGTTAGTAATATAAATGTTTTTAGAATATTGTGCTTCCTTCTGGTTAGGACTTGAATGCTGGAGTGAAGATGATAATACCACCAATGGCTCCAACCCAATTTGAGTTTGAGACCCCTGATTTAAATGTTGGCATGTTTGCTTATAAAATGGCAGATTATTGAAACTGATGCCAGTTCATTTTATCATTTCAGTTCTATATCAAATCCTTAGAAAAAAAACTGATATATTTGGAATTGGAAATTGTACTATACTGTGAGGTAAAGGAAAGGAAACTGGCTGAGTGCTCCCTGCTTCTTCCCCCACTCAGGTGAAGGGAACCTAAGTTTCACTCGACTTGTTCATGGCAAGCCAAGCCTGGCTGGAGTCTTCTCTGCGGCGCTCTGCCAGTCTGGGCCTAGAGGTGCTGGAGCGGGCCTCCAGGCGGAGTGTAGACTGGACTAGTACTGGAGTATGTCAGACCCCCACCACTACAGATGAAAACACACACATCCCTATCAAGGTTCTGCGATTTTCTTTCTGTATATTAACCCCATCATGAATGGATCGTGACTCCTTTGCAGTGTCAAACTTTTGCTCGTCTTCTTTAAATTCTCATGCTCTTGTCATTTTCCAGAGAAAACACACAGAGCTTGATAATGTCTTTGCAACCATCGCAGACTTCATGGCGCAGACGACTTATCAGTGCAAGGTCAGTGGTTATTTCCCTCCACCCCCCCTTTTCAGCTACAGACCATGAGACTAAAATGTGAATATTTTCTATGCTGCAGAAATTTTATGAGTCTGGCCGTTGCACTGAGCCCACTGACACTGAGAGGAGCCACGTGTCCAGGTTCCACACACGGCCAGCTGCTGGGATGACGTCTTCTGCACAGTCAACCAGGAAACGTGCGAGGGCTCCTTACAACAAAGTAACAATCTTATGCTTTTTCTTTGAGTCGTGTACAGCTTTCATCTTTATTGCTTCTTACTGGAATCATATTTCTCACCAAATTATTATGCAATTTAAATATTCACTGGCATTTTAGGCTTATTTTGGACCTCTGAATCCTGAGAAAAATATTTTGACCTTCAGTTTCTTTACCCACCACTTGACTGCAGCTTTGCCACTATTTTTCACCGGGGAGTTGAAAACACTCAGTTTGTATGCCTCAAATGACTGCATAGGGTCTGTTAGATCTGTCTGAACTTAATCATGCAGAACTGCAAACCAAAATCATGAGCTGGAAACTGTAAAAAGCCAGCCAGTGTTGATCTTCAGTGGGAATGGTAGTACTAGCACCATTTTTACATAAGGAACTTCCTGTAATATCATGAATATTATTTTGTACACCTCCTAAATATATATAGTTTGTATTAAGTTTAGACTAACATGGGGTTTTCAAGGAACTAAAACTGAAAATACCACAGTTGGCTTATCAATAGTGCAACCAAAAATGTATTTTTAACAATCTCCTTAAATGTAACAATGACCTTAACAAAAAGTTTTTTTAAATCTCTTTTTAAAATTCATATTCATTCTTCCCAGGGTCGCGTGTCATCAGCAGGTGAAGATTTCTATATTGAGGTTTCACCAGGGACATATTCTATCACTGCCAGCATGTCCGAGTCGGAGCAGCAGACTCAGCTGGTCAGCGTCAAAGCTGGAGAGAGTATTGACCTCACCTTCAATCTCTGACACCTCACCCAAACAAACCAGTCACCCTTAACCCTCGATAACTAAACTGACCTATGATATTTATGCTGTGTGTGTGCGTTTATTGCTTGTTTTTACATGGATTGCTGCATTAAGAGTTTACAATTTATTTTGCTTTCAAAATGTTTCATTTGCTGTATATTGAGAAGCCATATTTTTATTGCAGTAGTATTTTATTTGTGTGTGTGTGTGTGTGTGTGTGTGTGTGTGTGTGTGTGTGTGTGTGTGTGTGTGTGTGTGTGTGTTTTGTTTGTGTGTGTGTGTGTGTGTGTGTGTGTGTGTGTAATGCAGTACTTTTACTTGCACTAAAGATGCATCAGTTTCTTAAAATAAAGTATCAATCTTTTGTTTGTTTTTTGTTTTTTACCAACTTTATACAGGTACAGTATATGCTGAGGTCTTAGCTGTGCATTGTACATGTAGCATTGTTGGCAGAAAAAGCCTGCCGTCCCACTGGTGGTCGAGGTTTGAAGTTGGTCGTTCCAAAAACATCTCTGATGTTCGCTCTTCTTCCTTTAGCACCAGGAAGTGATTGAAACACAGAGCTGTGATTGGGCGAGGCACTGATCTGTGGGACAGGAAAGCTGAGCCTTACAGGTTGTGACGTCCTCCTTGCCACGGCACTCCCTGCAGATAAACATAAATATATCAACATGAACAGATGTCATGGGGGCTGAGGCTCTGTCACATAGCATCTTAGTGGCTTAGCTGCGGTTTAAGTCAGCTTGACTGAAACGTGAGGGTTCAAAATTGTTATTGAATCTGCATTGCTGTGCTGTTAATGCTTATTGTGATCTGCAATGTGTTTTGCAATATTGTAAACATATTAAATAAATATTTCCATATAGAAGTGACTGCCATTACACCACAAGTGATGTGTGCACAACTATTGAGATTTTCAACCATGATGCAACATTGATTCTGAATTTAGTTCTAGCAATAAATAGGGATGTTTATTGGTCAGAATCTGGCGAAATCATACGCTGCATGATACAGAGGTTACAAATCAATATAGGATGATCTATTGTGAGGCTGAGGGTTTAAACACAGAAATGAATACTGTTTTGAAAATTTATACAATATCACAAAACAAAGTTCTGCGTTTTGATATTTTAATTCATCCCTGGCAATGAATCACATTAAGTGAGAAGCTCCCTCCCTGCAAAACTTATTTTATATCTGAAAAACCTTATCTTGACAGAACATGTTTGATATTCAAAGTGTACTAACATGTGTGAGAGTTGACTCACTACATTGAGTAATAGTGATCTAAATATTCCAATAAAATGTACATCATTTCAGTCTATTACAATATGAATAATCTGCCTCTCACACACACTCACACACTGATGGTGGTGGTGTAACCCTCAACAGTGGTCTCTTTGTTTACATTAAATCTTATCTCTTCTATACATACATAGCACCTTCAGCTGTTTCTCATTTAAAAAAACATTCTTCAGATTTGATCAAATTAAGTTAAATTGAAATGTTTTGGTCACTTCTGTTTAAATCAAGACCAGAATACATCAGTTTAGACAGGGTCTGTGTTTCCCACCTGGCTGCCTGTGTTGTGGCTCTGATCCAGTTCTTCTCCAGTACCTCCAGGGAGGACGTTGTTCTTTATTCCTCAACTTCACTGCAGGAGGAAACGTCGCTCTGGTCTCATCCTCAGAAAGAGATGAAGAGGAGGAGGAGGAGGAGGGCACCTCAGGGTCACTTTTCCTCACATCTGTATCTTGCTCTGCCTTCTCAAATCCATCCCTCCTTCCAAAGCTGGACGTACAACTGGGTGGAAACATGTATGGCCAGTGGTTTGTGACTGAAGGGCAGCAAGATGAGGACGGACACCGGTCGCTGCTGAACAGCTGGGGAGTGCAGGAGGAGCTGCGAGCACCTAGCCAGCTGCAACAACGACTGGGCGTTGATGTTGGGATTTGGAGCTCCCTGACTATTCTGTCATGGTGAGAAGCTGAAAGGGGCAAAACCAGATTGCCAGGAACCAGAGAAACACAGCTGTTCCACATCAGCACGCGGAGGCTCGTAACACCATCAACTGCAATGCCAAGAAAGAGTGACTTACTGAGAGGGATATACGTTCAAGCAGTGCTAATTAGTGTTTTGTTGTTGTTGTTGTTGTGTTTTTGTTAATAAAAATATAAATTGTCTCCTGTTATGTAGAACTATTAAAATTAAGTTAATGCTTTAGATTACAGCCCTTGAGTTTATTTATTTTTTTAGTGCATATGGGATGGAAGTTTATTTAATGGCTAAAATGTTTTCTGATTACAGTAACAGTCTTGATATTGAAATTATTATTTATTTTAGAATTATGATATACCTGTATTTACAATTTGTAACATATTTAAAATGGAGAACTTATTACTATAAATATAGTTTAAAATATAGTTACATTTTCATATTATTGTTGTTAATAGGGAACACAATGTTAGGCTTAGCCTGGGGACATAAAGGACATAAAGGTATCTGCTGGTTTACTGTTTGTACCTTGTCTGCATGTAATTTAGTTCCCTCCAAATATTTCCAGTTCTTCAAATGTAAGGATACCCAGTAAGTATTTCCATGTACCCTATATGTACGAAATATTTACACAAAAAACACTTTCTGCCTGTAATCTAAAGCATTACCAAATTGTAAAATGAACAAATAAGGAAAAGATGAAACCAGCAACCATAAAATGCAAATAAAGTAAGGGGAGAAATATAAAAAATAACTAATAAATAGTAAGTTGTTAATCAAAAATAAACTGATTTAAACTTTAGTGAGTACATCAAAATGTATATATAAAGTGTATCATGTAATATTCTGTATCTATCAAACCTATTTCTGTATGTCTCTGTAAGTTGTAAAGGTCAAAATGTAAACACAAGCACTATTGACTCCATACCTCCAAAACCCTCTCTGTGTTCTGTGGCGGCCATCACCTTCCCCGGCCCGTATCTCCTCAGATCTGGTTCCCATGGTGACAGCACAGGATCACCAGGTACCAGACAATGTGTGTGAGCTCTTGTGCGGTTCACCATGTCGAGGGAGCAAACTAGCTGCCTCTGGGAGGAGACGCCCCCCAAACTGGCCCTTCCTGAATGGTCAAACTCGACAACCCAAACTCCTCTGCGGCTCTGATTTTTCACACAAGAGGATGTCAGCATCCACAGTGACTCCGTTACTAGTCAGAATTTGAAGCTTTCTGTCATGATTTAGACATATTTCTTGTTAAGTTCACTCTGTACTCCAGTACATTGGGATTTGAAATTGAACGATGACTTTGAGATTGATTGTTACAGCTTTCATTTTAGGCTCTTTACATCCACATTAGATGAACTCTGTACAGGTAAAGCCCTATTTATACACAGGCCCCAACTTCAGGAGGCAGAGAGTAATTGGAGAAGGTAAAAAAGACTTAAATAAAGTCATTATATTTAATATTTGGTGTCAAATCCTTTGTAGTAACTTCTAACGTCTCCAAGATCTCCACAAACATCAGTAGACAGTGCCAGTGCTTACAATAATGGTCATTGTTTCATTTCAAATCCACTGTGCTGGAGTAGAGCTACACTCTGATAATCTGTTGCTGTCCCAATACCTGCCTGTATATGATGACATTAGTGCAGTGTGTGATCATCTTTTCACCTGTACTTGCTGTATTACAGTGCCCAAGTAGTAGAAGCCATCCAACTCTCTCCTGGCCAGCACACGGCATCCTGGAAAAAACTCTGGACTCAGGGTTTGACCAGACAGCATGCAGGCAGTAATGGGGTGGAGAGGATTACCTAGACTGCACCTGGGTGACCACAGGAAGCCAAGAAACAGCTCATATGTCATTGGGATGATAAATCTAATCACAGCAACATACAGTATCTTAAATTTGCCAGCCTGCGTGAACACTTCTTTGGTTCAAAATATCACATGCCAAACATGTCAGATTTGGTAACATTTTCTGCTACGTAGCTATTACAATGTTTGTACTACATTGATAAATAACTAGGTAACCATGGAAACCCACCTGAGCAGAGGTGATGACGTGTTGTGCGGGTTGTGTGGCATTAAGACTGAAGTGGACGGACAGTAGCACTTGAGTGGGGAGAATGTTGGCACTGATGACTGAAGATGATGAACACACAGTGGAATCACCTGACAACATACACAAAGCACACAGACCCTTTGATGCATTGTGGGACCTGGCCAAGCTCATACACATTTCTTCAATGGTAGAATGAACTAAGTACAAAGTCAATGATAATAGTAAATAGTACTTTATTAAATGTACTTAGTTCATTCTAAGTGGATAAGTAGATATTTGTGATACTTGTATTTTACTTGAGTACTTCGATTTTATACAACTTCATAGTCCACTAAATCTCAGAGGCAAGTATTGTACTTTTTTAATCCACATTTGTCAGACAGCTTCGCTTACTTGTCACTTTTCAGATTACAGTTCTTATTCCTGTCCAGCGAAAAGCATGTATCTCCAAATTTGATCATTTTGATTTTTTTCTGATAAACTGAATGATAAAGTGTTGAAGTCTGCCCTGTGTAGTGCAGTAACTGTGTGCCCAAAACTTTCTGATTGGCTGGGAGGCAATGCAGATCAGTGAGGAAATTTGCTATGATTTAAAGAAAGTAAGAAGACACTCTTAGCTTTTCTGGAGATTCATCTTTAAACTATACAAACATATGCCAAACTGTAGATTCTCCCTCACTCAATTTGTTTTTACCAGTCCTGTCTGCTACCCCTTAAGTTCAGCCATACCTTCTCCAGTACTCCATTCAAACCAACTGGAATCACATAACAGCTCCCTCCTGTGGCTTGGGTCAGACACTGCAGGTAGTCTCGAGTGTTGCTATCCAGTTGACCACCTGAATCCTGCAGGTAGAAGACGTTCACAGGCCTCCCAGCCGCCATGGCGGGCAAGGATGTCAGCACAGCCTCCGGATGGTCGGGGAGGTCTGTGCAGAGCAGGTGGATGGCGTGACAGGCGGGGTCAGTGAAAGCAGTACACAGGGCAACCAGGAGATCCCTGCCGGGGCTGCAACTGATGCAGTGGATCCAGGACAGAGCCGTGTACACTGTGTCAGGAGCACAGGGGAGCATGTGGTGGGACCAGCAGGTCAACTGTAAAAGTAAAGAGAACATCAGTCACGTAACAGGTGACTCTTAAGCGAAAAATATTCCCCTAGGTAAAGGTGTTATGTAAATGAAATATTCTTTCAGTTACATTATAGGATTGGATTCATAAAGTAATGATATTAAAACACTTTGAATTGAAGTAGTATTTACTAGACTAAATCATTTATTTAGTATGTCAGTCAGTCCAGAACATCATGTCATCATCTGAACTTTGATATTAACAGTGATTCCTAATGATTTTGTGACCTTCTGACCTTACATCAGGTTGTGAAAGGTCAGCCAGATCAAAATGTTCCCTTCAAAGACACTTGACCATGACTTGACTTGACTTAACTTGACAAAATCAACACTTTTAACTGGACTTTTACTTAAACATCATTGACTTCAAAAAGACGTGATTGATAGCCTCTCAAAAAATTCAACTTTCAGCTCAGAAATGACAAATGATTGTAATTGTGTCACAGAAAAAAACGACACACCTGATAAATTTGCTTTTAGACCTTATAAAGTTTCTGCAAAAGTAATAAATACCACTTTTGAAGAATGGTTCAACTTGTTGAAGGGCAAATGATGACTTTGTTCAGGACTCGAAACATAAAGTTTAGAACTTGTACTTGACTTGGGATTTCATACTTGTGACTTGCAAAACGATGACTTTGTCCCAGATGTTTATGTTCTTATAGTGAATGAATCCTTTGCTTTTCTTGGTGTCCATGTCACCTTTTCTATGGCAACACCATCGGGACAAATGTTTTTATATTCATACAGAACTATAAAAATCTGATGAGCAACTTGCTGTGGAATATGTTTTTGACACTCCTTGACCTTTCCTTTTGTGCCAACTTAAGGCCAAAATGTTGATTTTACACAGACTTTGCATCCACCCAAAGTCCACCATTTAATGACCCCATAGCCTGTAGTGTGACAATCCCTTTATACTTGCTTTATGGATAGACACATGAACATTGCAACCTCAAGAGTGACTCTAGAGAGTGCTCCTTGTCTTCTGAGGTGTGATGCCCTTTCTGTGTTGCTGATGCTGGTGTTGTACTGCGCTGTCAGTCCCACCTCACCTGGCCTGAGAATGACATGATGTTGAACAGAGAGTCCCTGAATGAAGCCTTAGTCAGCAGGGTCTGGATCAGCAGGCGTTTCATTGACCCCAGAACAGCTCTCATGTTCTCTGAGCTGTCCACAACAAAAGTGATGTTGCACCTCTGTTTGCCCAGAAACAGTGGAATCAGTGCAGCCTCAGAGGCCACCGTCTGCCTGGATGTCATCCCTGTACCACAATAATGTCAGGAAATGACATAATTGTTGAGAAAAACAGGATGCAAAAGAGAGAGAGAGAGATAGGGATCATGTGTTTTAGACCATTGTCAAATTTAATGTTGTAATTCTGCAAACACCAAAAGTGGTAATATTTAAAATATTCTGCTTGTTTTGTGATCAAAACACAATTCACTTGCATGTGAGCTACTAGTCATTTAACAGAAAAGTTAAGTTCTAAGTTTTGTGTGCCTGAGAAATGTTTTTCATTGTGTGAAGTTAAGTTATACCATGTTTTTATTGAAAAGTAATGAATAAAAAAAGTAATAATTGTGCTGCTGTTATGTTAATGTATGCTAATGTGGTTATGTTAAAGCTACAGTCATCTTATTTTGAAATTTCCTTTATTCAAATTAATTGTCCATGAGTGTCTACAACACGGTGCTATCAAATGTTTATCCACAACTATGAAACTGTACACACATATAGAACTTACTCCTCATCTGACTAAAATAACAGGAAACACAATAACTGTGTTTATGTTCTGAACAGGAGGAAGTTCAATATATGTTTTCTTTGCTCTGACAGTTAATACACAGATAAAGTGAGCGGGTACATTACCTGAAGTTTTTATGCTGTCAGCTGCAGACGACAACCTCTCCTCACTGTTGATGTTGGTTTCCATGGAGAAATGTTCAAGACTGAGTCAGTCTTCTTCGTGGCCACTGGAAGGGGCTATTCACCTGCCAATCAGCTAACTGGGGGACCGTTACCAAACACTGCTGTCATGCTACAGTTGCTATGGTACAGTCACAGGTCAGCTGACCAATTAAAGCCGCTCTCCAGCCCTTCCTGAACAGACAGGGGCGAGAAATGATCCCTGTTGGCATTCTTATTAACAGCTTTAATTATGTCAGACTACCTTTGGCTGACCCAGTTTCATAAATGGCCCTCAGATAAAATGGCACATGGGCTAGTTACTATGTGTACTGTATGTATGATTTTCCAAAATGCTAAACCTCCTATGAAAAATCAGGCAAAAACACAGAAAAACTTTCACATCATTTGGGATTTTATTCGATATCCAGTGCTGCACTTTGCTACAGTCACAAGGTAAAACATATTAAGTGTCACTATAATTTTGTAAACATTAAAAGGCAGTGACCTCAATGCAAATACATGTTTTGGACTAGAAAATACATTTACAACATTATAAAATACCGTAAACAAACAGTTGTTCTGTACTAAGCTTATCAGCTACATTCCACATGAAATAAAAACCCATCTGACCTTTGTTCTAGCCCACTGTGAATTTATAGGATACAAGACTTATAAATCACAATTCTAACAGTCTACAGCACTAAAGGTTCTGTTAGTTAGTTAACTAGCCGCACAATACGTACTACTGTAGTGACAGCTAAGACATGATCATAGGCTATAAGAATGCTGCAGGAGGAAGTTCGTGGGAGCAGCTGCTATGCAAACCACTGCTTTATGTCAAAAATAAGTGAAGTCAAAGTGGATTATCTGACGAATGAACGCAGCAAACAAAGAGAAAGTGAGAATTTATGAGGTGAGAAATTTATTTTTTAAAGTTCCCCAGTGAGGCATCTAGTTGTAGAGTAAATAATTCTATTGCTTTTGGTCACTGTGCGTGTTGGGGACAAGCGAGGTCAGTATCACAGGTCGCTGAAGTCATAGGAACTGTTGTGCAAAAAGAAGAAAAGAAGAAGCAGAACTTGGTGACATTGATCAGCAGAATGGTGTCTGTTGTCTAATAATGGTCTTTGTGCCTGTGAATGTTACACATACTGATTCGACATATCCAAACATATTTTATGTATTAACTATTTTGTGATGAAAAAAGTCGCAAGCTCCTGCTTTAGTTTGTATTCTCCCTCAGTGCCTCTCAACACCCCCCACAGATATTTAGTGTATAACGTTGTGCACTGGTTTGCAGTATCTTTTGAGGGTTTGACAGTTCCAATAACATGCAGTGACAGCCTGATCTGTATTTTGTGCACAAAGCAAATAAATATTAAATAAAGGTGTGAGTGTGTGGCATTTAATTAAGGGCACATGCACTCTCTTTTAAAAGCAATACAATCTTACCTTTCATTAAATGGCTTTTTGGCAAACTGAACTTGCTCCCTTACATTTGTCCCAAACACCAACATCTGCTTTTCAGTGTCAATTATGCACTGCAAAAAAGATGATACACCAAAACATCACACATTTACATGAAGGTAACAATATGGCATTTACTCTTGCAGTATCCACACACCAAAATATGTACTTATTTTGCCCCATTAGTGGTAAGAATCTAATAGCAAGGTGGTTTTTGCCTGTTTTTATCCTTGTGTCTTCATTAACATCATTATGTTTCAGAAGATCTTTAAATGTTACTCGTGGGAAGCAGATGATTTACCTTCAGTGACTTTAATGTCTTGTTGCCCAGGGACATCAGTGGTTTGTTACTTTCTGCAAGTAAATGTAATTGTCAGACAATACTTAACTGTGACTTAAAGTCACTGGTTACAGTCACAAAACTCCCTTAATCTTGGCTTTAATGTTACTCTTCTTCCTTACCTACTATGGTAAAGGAGCACATTATTCTGAGCTGCCCGATGGTTAGGCTGAGTTCTTTGATATGGCCATCAATACAAAGCTTCCGCTGAAATGGAAAACCATTTGTCTCCATTTTGTTCTCCTCAACCAGTTCTTTCCAACTTTAAAAGAAAACAAAATAATTACCACCGGAATAAAAGCACAAAAATATGGTACCATCCAGGGTGGTGATACGTTGGGATTTGTCAAAGATATGGCCAGTATGCGATTACAGACTGGTGATGATATGATATGATATGATATGAAGGACAGATCTTCTCACCCATATCTCTCCACAGTAAGTGAGGACATCAGGTTCAGTTTACAGCCGGTGTCAATCAGCACATTCACCTCCTGTCCTAAACACTGTGAACACACAGAGAAGGTGGAGGTGAAAAGGAAATCAAAACACTGCACCAACAAAAAAGGAAAAAAAAAACATTTGTGCATTTGTCCAAGAGTTCACAACAGTTCTTGTGTTTTAAAGGGCTTGTTCTGAATGTATATAAGTACTTTATTCTAATTGGAGCTACCTGTACAGACTCACCTTGCAGGGCACATACATGAAATCATCCTCCTCTTCATTCTCCTCGTGTGAGTTTAAATGATTACAGCTCAGAAGGACCCCTCCGTTGTTTGGTGTCACTCCACACATGCGCATCCTTCCCCGGGACAACTTGGCTTCCAGCAGGCGCTTCTGGAGAATATGGTGCGGCTGCTGCAATGCAAATAAAAAACAATAGAGTTAGGAAATCTCTAATAATGCTGCCATTGTGATCTTCAGAAACCTTCTTCAGTGCCTAGGAAACTAAAAAAGATGTTGAATATACAACAGTATAACCAAATTACCTGACATGTAAAGGCTTAATGGGTGAGACTATACATGTAAATACTAGGGATCAATATTCAAGACACTATTTCTATACACATTCATAGTCAAGTAAACAAAAAGAAAGACAAACTTAAATTCATATTTTCACAGGTTTTTTAGGATTTTTTAGTTTAAGCTGCAAAAATACAAATTGATTTCATTTCCAAACATTTACTTCACTTAAAATAACTTCCTGCACAATGGCAGTATAGTTTATTTTTAATGTTTTTAACACAATAGGTGTGGAAACATTAGGCTGAACCATCCTTTATAGACAGTTTATCTTCTACTTACAGCTCTAATGTATAGGCTACCACTCCATTACTGTATGGGCTATAATTTAAAGTAATATAATTAATACAATTAAAGCTTGTGGTAAATTAAGCAACCGCAGTGATTCCCCCATAGACATAACTGTCATTATTTATTAGTACTGGGATAAAATGTGTAATTTGGTTGAGTCGTGAGTCCAAAAACGAGTCTATAACTGTGACACTATAAAGGCCTATCATAACAGGCACACCCCCTGTTTCGATGTCCCGAGTTTCTTCAGTCCATCCAAAGGCAGCAGATCAGCTGAGTCTTTGTGAAGGAACTGGATCGCCTGTTTCAGCCTCCTCTGCTGCCTCAGAGCCGCAGCATCCAGGACCCCCGAGTCCTCGCGGTTCTCAGTCCGCATCCCCGTGGACATGACGGCCGGTATCTGAGTCGGACCGAGGCGTATGGGTCTGTATGTGTCGGATCTGTAGCTGTACACAACCGAGTCTAATGCGGAATCCCCGATGATGAGCTAGTGAAGAGGAGATACCCCCATCATGATCAGTGCCGTGGAGGTAGTGAAGCAATACGACTTCTGGTCAGAAACCTTCAAAATAAAACTCTAATTCAAAATCCTGGCAAATTAAGATAATCTGAATTATTTGTGAGTTGGGAGACTGTGAGTTTCTTGAAACATTTAAGTCTCTTTCCACTGAATTTTTTTTTTCTTGTTCTTACAGTTGTATGTTTTATCTTCATTCTGCAGAGTTATGTATGTGCAGACTTTGACACCAGAAGGATGTTTTCACATTCATCTGCTGAAAGTTTTACACAACTATGATGTAGAAACTTGAAGCCACCAGTGCACATAAACTGAGAATGGACTTTACAGTGAAGTGTCCAACAGGAAAACTTTAGACATTAATAACATTTACATATTCTTCTTTTAAGAAGACTTTTCAGGATGTGGAAATTATACTTTTATAGGCTTCATATAGGTTACCACAAACAACACAAGGACATTTTTCCAAACTGAAAACTGAATTTATGTCTTTCTGTCAAATTTAACTTTCACAGAATATAAGCTTTATAGCCAAAAAAGTCAAAGAAGATCTGAAAGAGAAGCTGAACCAAGGTGGCTTGGAAAGTTTCATAGCCTATGTGTACCACTGTTTATTGGCACAATTGTTCTTCTGGTCCACATAAGTCCCCATAGACAACAGGCACTGCACTGGAACCATTTCTTAATTAGACAGTTGAAGTTAAAGTTTATTTGCTGTACCTTTTCATATAAATGGAGTTAAAAGGGGGAATAGAAAAATCCTACAGCCACAGACAAGAAAATATAAAGGAGCAATACTAGAACACACTAGAACAATAATAAAGATGCAAATAAATTACTTGAGAATCTTAGACGGAACAAAAGGATTAAGGATTATTTTAACATGATATAATATTATAGATTTAGATATATTATTATAGCACAGGAAACTGTTATAATGCCTTGTTTTGTGGGACTATGTAGCTGTTTTGTGGGACTATGTAGCTGTTAATACACTTGAATGACAGTTTTTACTTTGACGATATTATCCTGTTTTTGTGGCCCCTGGCAGCTTCAACGTGCCTGAAAACATTGAAACTGACTCCTTCAGAAAAATAAATAATGTTTGTTAGCGAGATGTCTCAAGTTCCTGTTATTTGAAATTTGCTTTAAAAAAAAATATTTTCAACAAAATTCTTTAAGATTTTCTTTATTAAGAATTACATTTAATAAACAAAACAAAGAATGATATAGGCATACGTGAATATCATGGAAGTATTCCACGAATGAGAAATCGCAGTGTGAACTACATCAAAATGTCTCAGATTTTTTGTTAGAAATCCACATTTGTAACTTTATTTATTAAAGTAGCCTAAATGTTCATCCTGGGTGTTAAGCAAGCTGTATATTTAGATAGCCCTATGCTGGATCACAGTCCTTCACTCTTAAACCATGAATTAAAACTTTGATTGAAGCTGTTTAAATACTGTGTGTTTTATTTGACTATACACTGTAGTGTAGATTCCAGCTGTAAATCAGAAGATGTCCTCAATATGGGTTCTGTGTCTCTGAAGCTAACTTGTACAATATTCAGTACAAAGACTTGAACTGATGGTTGAAACTGTTTAATCCTGTCTAATATTGTTAACTGTATGCTGGTCGTATTATATCTCACTTGTAACCGATGAAGTATTACCTCATATTAAACCTGAAGTTCCTGCACTGACTTTCAGTTAGTCAATATTTAATTTTATTCAAGGAGTTCCCCCCTGTTATTGGGTTAATATGTCTATGTTAATGGTCTGCTGCTCACTATACAAAGACTAAGATAAAGGGTTGAAGCTGACCCTGTAGTTCTGGATCCAAACTGTGAAATTCCTCAACATCTAAGTACAGCTGCAACAACTGAGGCTTTTAAGTTTGCCTGTTAAAACCTCATCACTTTGGATTTGTTATTACTCTATTTGAATTTTTTTTATCATGTACGCTCCTGGTACAATCATTTTACTTCTTATTATTTTGTTATTGGTGTCTTCACTCCTTTTTCTAGGAGAATTTGAACTTTTGTTCTCTATCATTTGTTTTCTGTAGAAGCAATTTAGGTTGCATAATATAATATAATCTATATATTCTACATACATATAAAGGAAGATTGTCATCATTATTATAAACTCACCTGTACATACCAGTATATTAGCCTATATAAGCACCTAGCAATAGAGCACTAACAGGCCTACAACAAGTTCATGTAGCCTACAGCATACCGCAGGGCTCAGTCATTGTACAACCTATCGATGTTGTGTATCTGTTCTTTAGTTGAAGTCCTCTTTCGATCGACTTGGTAAATATCATAGGTTTGTTTGTTTTCAGACGTGATGCTCTGTGTAGTTTGCACTACTGTCAGCTGGACATGACATCCCTCTGAGCCTCTCTTCACTGCATTGCCCAGATTCCCCCTTTTTTTCCCACACGACCTTGTTTTCAACATGGATGCCGAAAAATCTCCGCACACATCGCTGTTTATGTTGCCGGAGAACAAATCTAACCACATCCTGTGGCACAACGTGGCTGGGAATCCACCGTTTCGGTTGATTGGCGTCTTATGTTGAAGCTTAAATATTTATTTTCTACGACGACGCAGCGCATTTGGAGTCAAAAGCCCGAGACAATACGAAAACCGACGCGGAATGGCGTCTGTCAGGGGCCCGGGAATCTGAATAACAGCAACACGTACTCGAATGGGACCTGGCTGACCAATGGGAGTGGAAGCTGTGATCTCTCCAGCCAATCACCGCGTCTGGATTGCGAATAGGGCGGTGCATCGCTGGGAGGATTGTGTTGTCATACATGTTCCCGGTGTGTGGGCATCGCGAAGCGTTTCCTGCACTGGTGCATGGTGGTCGAACAGGAGGAATTGTTGGAAATTTTTCGGAGGTTAGTATATAAATTGGTTTTTACCCAGTATGCATTATTCCCACAGCCATCTCGGTGAGAGGGGAGTGACAGGCTGCGGCGTGGATTCAAAGGAAGAATGGGGGAATACTGTTTAACCATCCAATAAAATGAACACCCACCGAGTCAGAATGCTTATGTTATCATTAATTAGCTCATGGATTCCCGGTCTTGTTCCCTAACTGCGTCGCTACTTAGATAAGCGCGATTGAAGCTCCGTGGAGACAGCTAGCTAGCCCTGCAGCTGTCACAGAGCCTGCTTAAGGGTTCACTTCAAATACCAGCTTCAAAATACGGTAGCTGGACCCTCGTTGGGAAACTAATCTTAAAGAACAGTTTTGCTGATAAGCGCTAGAAAAAGTCGTGATAGCGCTGGTTGGCGTAGTTAGCAGTGCTGTTAGCGTGCGGGCTAACCAGCGTACTCCGTTGTGACAGCTATCGTTTCTGCGGCTGTAACCACTTGAGCTGAGGGCTGTTTGACCGTCCAAACATACTGTCAGTGTGCTCACCAACCAGCGGTAGCCTGACAGCAGAGCCGGTTCACTACACTGGTTAGATAATGTCTCATTACAGAGGGCAAATGTGGCAAGTCATAGTGCTACGTCTTAGCTAACAGCTAGCTAGTTAGCCCCAAATTACATATTCAAATCAACAAGCGCCAAAACAGTAACATCAAATATGAGCCTGTTCAGGTAGTGAGCACTTAGTAGCTTAAAAACTTACACGTAGCTCACAACTACTTGAATAACTCCACAAAGGCTCGAGTTTATAGTGGGAATATATTGTTGCTAATAACAACAGTGATACAGTTTACATGTAGTTTATGTGTCAAAAGAGGTAAACAAGGCTGGATTATTAATGATCTTGGTGTCCCCAGAGCTCCAGGGGTCCCTAAACTCTGGAATTAACTGGTTTCTTATCATTTTAATTGAAAATGTATCTGGGAATGTTATGCACAACAGCAGCACAGTTACTGACATGATAAAGGCCTTAAACTGGGTTATGCTTTATTACCTAGGCGCCTGTGTTAAAATAGTGTAGTTGCAAGAACTTTAATTTCATTGTATTCACTTTCCGTGCCTATATATTGCCAAATCCTAGATTCCTGTGCATAAACTTACTAGGTGTGTGTGTGTTTTAACATAGAAAAACTGTATACATTGTACATGTAGGAGTATCTGGGGTTAGCATGACCCCAGCATCTTATTTTTGCCCTGGACCCCCCACCCCCACCCCCCGTTATGTTAACTTGACCTTGGAAGTAATTTATGTATGTTGGCTGCACTCCTTTATCAAACATGTCATCTGTGCATCAGTAGTTGTCACATCTTGCAACTGTGGACACCAGTTTGAGTTTAAATGTGTGTGTGTGTGTGTGTGTGTGTGTGTGTGTGTGTGTGTGTGTGTGTGTGTGTGTGTCACTCCAGCAGCTAAAGCATGCTCTTGGCCCAGATAAACCGGGACTCCCAGGGAATGGCAGAGTTTCATGATGCAGATGGGCAGCCAGTCACTCTCTGCCTGACAGAGGCAGTGACTGTAGCAGGTGAGCAAACTAAACCAAACTTGAACTTATCATTGTTATAATTCCATTTAGAGTCAACTAAAAGTAGAAAGTAAAAGCTCTTTCATATAGGTAAACATGAGCATACAGTGTTTTAGGGACATGTTCTCAGTTTGAATTTACCAACAGCTAAAGTATTGTCATTGTCAAATCATCTCCCAGATGGTGATCAGATGGAGAGCATGGACACAGTTAGCCTGCAGGCTGTTACTCTAGCAGATGGATCCACAGCATACATCCAACACGACTCCAAAGCGTCCTTTTCAGACGGACAGATCATGGATGGCCAGGTGATCCAGCTGGAGGACGGCTCTGCTGCCTACGTTCAGCATGTTTCAATGCCTAAAGCAGGTAAAACAAAAATCCCTGCATTACTTCAGGACAGCGAGGACAGTACTTGTGTTATACTATGTTGTATGATGAATTACCAACTGCCACATTATGTGGCATGATGGGAAGCAATGATTTATTTGGATTTCATCTGCATGCCATTATGCTGTGTTTATACAGGATTGAGGGCATACATAGCGATATCTGGAAAAGCAGAGGTTACTGTTGTTGAGGTAGTTGTGCTTAATGTTTGTTTTATTTCTGTTGTAGGGGGAGACAGTTTACAGCTTGAAGATGGGCAGGCGGTTCAGCTAGAAGATGGAACAACAGCCTACATTCACACACCCAAAGGTAAAAAAAATAAGTTTAACACCTAAGACCTTCATTTTCTCAGAGAATGTCTTTCTTTAAGTATCTTATCAAATTTCAAAGTGTGCTTTTGCTTGTTTTTACAACCTCTAGATAAGTAGTGTAGCTATTTGTCTAGCCAGTTAATTTGTGTACATTGCAATGTGTTTATTAACATGTTACACAGCTTTCTTTAAAAGCAAAATACAGTGTCTTGTGGCTGCATTCAGGTCTGATTTGTTTGAGTGTAGAAACTGGTTAGTTGCATTACTGATGAACTGACACCTCCTTTATCTTCTTGTAATATGCTCCATTTGTTTCTATTTATTCATGGTTTAAAATGTTTAAATTAATTTAACAAACATACCTAGTAGTATTGTATGAGAAAATAATAATTATAGTTCAAAGATTTGCAAACCTTATATTTTTTAATAACCGTTGTCTTATAGCCAAGTGATTTTGTACAAAGAAACCATCCTCCCTGAGCAAACAACCATCTCAGTTTTCACACTGGACCTGAGCCCAGTGTCCTAATTCGGTTTCTCTACATGGACATCCTTCTCATTGTTTCTGTGCAGATACGTATGACCAGAGTGGCCTGCAGGAGGTGCAGCTGGAGGATGGCAGCACCGCCTACATCCAGCACACAGTGCACATGCCCCAATCCAACACCATCCTGGCCATCCAGGCTGACGGCACCATCGCAGACCTGCAGGCTGAGGCCACGGCCATTGATCCTGAGACCATCAGCGTGCTGGAACAGTACACCACCAAGGTAAATATATTACATCATTGTACTGAGTGACACTAGTCTGGCAAACTTACCATTCTAACTGAATATGCTTATATCTCGTCATAATGCTTTGATTTACGCAAGTTCTATTTTTAATACTGGTTGTTTTGGAATAATAAACTGATGCCATTAACAATTTTAGCATCCCACTGTGTTTATTTTTATTGTTGTTTATTGGTGCATGTGTTAGTATAGACTGTACTGACATTTGCCCATTGTCCTTTTTCCCTTCTGTCAGGTGGAGAATATAGAAAACCCTTTGGGGTCCTTTGGCAGAGTGGAAGCAGACAATGGTGTCCATATGCGGGTACGGTATTCTAGAGTATTTTTTTTTTTTCATTACTTTTTATCCTTCATCCTGGTTTAACAGTGGAGTCTAATTCATGTTTCTTTCAGATTGTTTTACAGGGTCAAGACAACAGGCAAGCAAGGGGCTCAAATGTAGGCGAGAAGTCTTTCCGCTGTGAATACGAGGGCTGTGGAAAGCTTTACACCACTGCCCACCATCTCAAGGTAAGAGTGGGTGTTTTGGGATTGTGTCCGCAATGTTTTCATGGAAAAAGAAAAAAGGGTTTTGCCGTGTTGCTTTGCTTGTGGCCTAAAGTGTGGGATTGTTTAGAGATAATATTTCCCTTACTCCCTTGTTTCCTGCGTGTTTGCTGAGTTTTGTTTGTGTGTCCTGTAGGTACACGAGCGCTCCCACACTGGAGACAAACCATACGTCTGCGACTATCCTGGATGTGGAAAGAAGTTTGCAACAGGTAACTGGAGACTGTCTCATTAAGCCATTTGAAAAAAAGTAATTTACATATTGGAATGTGACAATTTTATTTTACTTCTTGCCAGATTGCATAACTCAGAGTAGAAAGAGATCCATCCTACATCAACAGATTTCGGCTTTCAGATTACTTTGAAATTCTTTATTGATGTATTATCATTATATTATTGTTTGATGTTGATGCTGTAATGCTTTGATTGAGCACCTTGATGAAAATGCTCGGTGTATTCACCAGGAATAAGAATAATGAGTTAACGGAACTGTTTTTTTACGACAATTTCAGGGTATGGACTGAAGAGTCACTCACGCACACACACGGGGGAGAAGCCATATAGATGTCAAGAGTTGAACTGCTGCAAGTCCTTCAAAACCTCCGGAGACCTTCAAAAGCACACAAGGACTCATACAGGTACAGAACCACACCCAGTAACTATCATAATTTTTTGCGTCATCTGCCTGAAATGGTGTGTAAATATCTTATAAATGTGTCATGGGTCTGGTACAGGGTTTAACTGTTGTTTGCTACTGCTGGGAGCTGAAATGATAAGTGATACTTGGCCTCAAGGCTGTTTTTAATACAGAAGTAACGGCACGTTCACAGCTTGAAAATATGTTATTTTGGTCAAAACCACCAGGCCACAGTCATGCTCCACTGGTTTTTGAAAGAACACAGATTAGGGGGCAGTACCTATTTCCAGAATTGGCCGAATAAATTGCAAGGT